CAATATTTAAATAAAAGACTCATCTAAGAGTTTCTAAATGAATAGCTTTCTTTTTGCTTGTATTTTATTCAATGAAGTTGTAATTTTTAAGCATAAGAGTATTTTTATGCAATGCTTGCCTGAAAATTTCTAGTTTTGTGCGTATCAAACTTAATACCTTTATTTATACATAAAATATATAATCTTCAATGAAACTATATTGTTTAAGATATTGACAAATGATACGCCTGCCTTATTTATCAAAACGTGGTCACAGTTATGCTTAAGGGTTTGTTTGGGCAGCTATAACTGTTTGAAGACAAACAACTATTAAGCTGCTGAAGAAGAAGCTGCGATGAACATAATAATTTTTTTTTTTTTTTAAGAAGTCAGATCGCAGTTTTCTAGCAGCCATCACAGGTAAGAAAATCCAACTTTCAATTGCTATTTTTTTACGAACACAGATAAAACACATTTTTGCCAAATAGAAAAAAATATAGTACGGTACCACACCGCCACTGCACCGCTGCCCCCAAACACACCCAAAATATCATGTTTCATTGCATAAATAGATTTATTAGCTCAACAACATCATAAAATGTGCAATCTTAAAATAAAGCATTTATTCAAAGCATAAGAAGTTTCATATGCAGTACACACCTTAAAATCTCTAGATTTGAAAAGATCAAATTGGAATACCTTTATTAATACCAATAATTTCTCAGTATTCTTTCTTAATTAGGAAATATAATGAAACATAAAAGTTGAGGCCCCATTTGAGATCACTTCCTATTTTTTGTTTAATGGTTTTGTTGTTGGTTTGTTTTGATTTTGTTTTATTTTTATTTTGATGTAGTACCTTCATAACCCTTCTTAGCTTTAATCCAATGACTCTTATTCTACTATGTAATACCTCATCACATCTCCTGACATAGCTTTATTGAAGTATACATCTATCATTGAAGTGTAAAACATAGTATCTGCTTCAACCACATACTGTACATTCATCGATGAGGGAGGTAAAAGTAAGGAGGTTGGGAGAACAGCTGAGATCGGGCATGTCGGCGACGAGGTGTTCGACGGTGTAGGGTTGGCTGAGGGGGCAGAGAAATGGCATCATGGTGTTGAATTAAGGAGGGGGAGGGTGCATACAATGGGCAATGTGGTGGGATTGGACGCTTAGTGGAGCTCAGAAAAGCAGGATAATAATTTTAGGGTTTATCTCTCGAGGAGATTTCATTTTCGGGGACTTACCGGCGCGCAGAAAATGTTCGATGTAAGGTCTCATCAGCGCAAAATGGTATTTTGCTTCAGAACTTTATTTTATGTGGCGGGGGGGGGAGGTTTTGTGTTCCTGATTTGATTTGATGTGGTTTTTGTAGTGGCCGTTGGGATCTCAGCACCCGTTGAAGGTTTGGTTGCCACGGGTGATAGAAAGAGTACCATTTCGGTGTCTGATTTACTTAGTGTAATTGCTGATGACTTGCAGAATCTCAACAAGAATTTAAAATCTGTGAGTCCAAGATTCAATCTTTCTTACTGAAAGGTCTGCTTATTTCCTTTCATTTATGTTTTAGTTGATTTTTTTAGCTTATTTGTGCTTTTGTTGATCGAGAGAAAAAGTGTAACTTTGCCGGACCGTGCTTTTCACTGTTACCCTATCCTCTCTTATAGGTGAAAGCTCAAATAAAAAGGCTACTTAAAAGGCCATAGTCATTGCGATATACAAAGAAGGGAATTGCTTTGAAACTTTTACTCAAAAGTTCTGATTGGATGTTTCTGCTAGCCTTATTTATATATTTTTAGATGGTGAATCCAAGGAAATGTTAGAAACTTGCAACTAAAGTTGGAAAAACAACCAGTTGGTAGCAGAAACGTTGAATTACTTGCTTTGTTTTTGCAGAGCAGAGCACTAAACAGATTATTGATCTGTTTGTACTATCACTTGAAAAAATCCATCTTTTTCCTGGTTCTTTGCACTCTTCTATAAATGTTAAGCTCGTATAGTTTTCAGATGCAAATTATTGGGAATCTAAAGTAGGCATATTACTACCGAAAATTTTTGGGTTTCTCTTCAAGGATCTAACCTTCTGCAACAAAAAAATGCATTTCTATGGGATCATTATGTAGACGAGTGACAACTTTTTTTGGCCTTTGGCTTCATTAAGTCAACTGAACAAGTATTTGTAATTCGTCTTGTCATATGCGTGCTGACGAAAAGAGTTTTATTTTTTGTTCAAGTTCAGTAGACTTCAGCATCAATCTTCTAGGACTTGAGTTGTGCTTAGTAAACCAGTTGATGGACTACCATCTACTCATAAGCTTAAGCTAATAAGTAAGATGCCCCTACGGCTATATAATGATACCATTCTTTTGTCTAACAGCGGGCGTGGACCATTCTTCAACCGATAAATCTCATGTTAACTCTGCCGTCTCTTATGTAAATAGAAGTCCTCCACATTACCAATTACATGAAAACAATTACTTAGCGCCGATATACTCAAGTATGGGTAGGGTTGTTAAAGATCCGAGCTGTGGTCGGCTCAAAATCGGCTTCAAAAAAATTTGATCCAAAATTTTAGCTCATAGTTCGGCTCGTTTATTTCGATATGGTCTTGATCTTTGAGCTAAAATTTGAATTGATTTTCGAGTGATTAAAGATCTTCGAGCTAAATTCGCAAATTCTTAGTCCTAACATTACTATGGTTATTAACAATCCGATTTTGAGCCAAGTCAATTTCGAGTCGAGCTAGGGTCACTCGAAATTGGCTTGAAAAAAACTTAATCCAAAATTTTGGCTCGTAGCTTAGCTCGTTTATTTCGATATGATCTCGATCAAAGTGAAAATTTGAATCAACTTTTGAGCAATTAATCTTCGAGCTAAATTCACAACCCTATGGCTCCTTAGATGGAGAGATTTATGAGAACATAGGGAATCAGGAAACAAGTTTTAAGAACACTAAAAATAAATTGCAGATTTTTTTTTTGATATTTTAAAAATAAACGCAGATCCGCTCAAAATATGATAATAAGGAAATAAATCAGTTTTTTTTTAATTTTTTTTAACCTGTTAATAAAAGAAAAAAAACATAAAACAAAATATTGATTCTTAACAATCCCTTCAAGCAAAATGATTCCTTGCTTATTATCATTCTCTAGTGTAGAACAAGAAGTAAACACAATATGAAATAGGGCAAACAAGTCCTTAATCCAAAAAAGATGAGTTTTATCAGTCCTAAAAGAAAAAAAAAAGGAGAAAATAGTGTTTTAGTGCTTCTTTGTGTGATGAAATTGCTATTGAGAGATATATATTTTATGTGTTATTTATATGTTATTACATATTTATGAGTCATTTTATGATGTTTTTAAGATGTTAAATCATGCAAGTGGCTTGATAGAGTGTTTTAGGATTGTTAATCTAAGAAGTGGCATTGCTTGTCCTTCCCTTCTCTTCTCTAATTTGAGATTTTGATATTGTAAAAACCTATTGAAATGTTTAGTGCTTATTTAAGTTTATAAAGAAGTTTTGAGTGTGAAACTCAAGGGAGGAAACTTGGTTACCAAATTCATCAATCAAGCCTTGCTTGGTGGCTAGTCTCCACCATATACTATTTTGGCTAGTAAATGTATTCCAAGTATTTATTTTTATTTAATTTCCTCATCGTAGTATCATTTCACTACATCCTTACCATGTTTCTGCCATATTTCTCACAATTTAAGTTATGTATAAGCCCAAATTAAACCCATAAGCTAAAAATTCTAGGTCACCTTGACTTTAACTAGTTTTGAAGGTCTTAAACCCTTTAAATTTTTTCAATACTTTTCTTAAAAAAACTAAACACATTCTTCTCTCTGTAAATAATTTCAAGCTTGGTTTTCTCATTTGAACAATTAATTACTTCTTATGCTTTGAATAAATGCTTTATTTTAAGATTGTACGTTTTATGATGTTATTCATACAACATTAGCTAAATGAAACATGATATTTAGGGTGGGTTTGGGACGGCGGTGCGGTGGCGATGTGATACCGCACCACTGTTTTTTCTACTTGACAAAATTGTGTTTTATCTCTGTTCGCAAAAAAAACTGCAATTAAAAGCTGTATTTTCTCACCAAATTTAATTATGTGCGGTGGCTACTAGAAAACTGGGATTTCCACCGTACCTAATTAAATCCAACCAGCTTTTCACTATCATATACTTCATTAAAAATTTAAAAAATTTATAGTTTTCATCTAATGAGTCATTATCTTATTCTATTGATTTTCTTTTTTATTTAGAAAATATTGAAGAACAAGTTATATGTGCTTCATAGATAATTTAGGCTCGCGGTGTGATGGTGGAACATTAACAGCAGGACAAGAAGCAAGACGTGGAGCTTCAATGTCGTGGAAATTGACTCTTTAGTCTTATCTGTAATTAACTAATGAGGTGCCGTGGAAAAATATGTCAGGAGTTGTGAGTGCTTGTCACTTATAAAAATATCTATAGAAGTTTGCATAAATATCAAATATTTGTGTTCATCTATGTGTGTGCGATGTCTGATCCTGACAGTCAGGATGTATTTCGGTGAGCCCCACCTAAATTTTTTTTTAAAAAAAAATTAAAATAATCCTGACCGTAGATCACCGTGATCTACGGGATCATGCACATGCATAGATGCATACGGTGTTCGTATGCAATAATTACACCGCATGCAGAGATGCATGGGGTGTCCATATGTAAATTAGATCGGACACCGCATGCAGAGATGCATGAGGTGTCCATATGTAATAATTTCTCGTGACTGTGAGAACCGCATGCAGAGATGCATGGGGTGTCCATATGTAATAATTTCTCGTGATTGTGAGAGTGAGAGTGAGGGAGTTTAGGGAGCAATTACTTGTAGGATAGTTTGGTAGATATTGTTTTAGAAAATTTTATTTTTTTATTTTATAAGTATACACTTAAGGCTTTTGCAAGCCGTCAACTGTTGAATTACTGAATTGCCCTTGTTGGACTGTCCGATTGTCAAATTGATGTACAGAAAAATCAGGAATATCATAATAAAATAAGCTTTTAATTAAATGTTTTATTTTTTTTTTTAACTAAAAAAATCCACGAACGCTTCCTCATCTTCAAATCCTAGCAAAGCTGCAGACTGTAAGAGAAGAACAGTGAGCTGATAAGCCTGTAGAAGATGAAATCCCCACCACTCTTCTTTTTCCTCCCCTCTCTCTTCTTCGTCTTCCTCCTTTTGGTTCCAGTTCGCTCCACCAGCTCCATCGTATTCACCACTCTCGGCCGCAGCCTCTACGGCTTCGACATCTTCTCCACCCCTACATCCCCATCCACACACCAAACCGAGCTCCAGCTCACCGATGGCATCTCCGTCAACTACAACGGCTTCTTCCCCTCGTCTCCTTCTTCCGTCCTCTCCCTTATCAACCACTCTTCTTCTTCCTCTCATACAGATCAACTTGACGCCCTCGTCTATGTCACCGAACGCTCCGGCTACTCCACCATCTACCTAGACCTTTACTCCTCATCGTACTCTCCATCCAATCGACGCGCAACCCTAGAGCTCCCCACCCGCCTCCACTTCTCTCTTCTGTCCCCAGCCGACGGCCGACCTTCTGTTTCCATGAAGGACCGTCCATCCCTTTCCGGCGATCGCCTGGTTTTCGTTTCCACCCACCAGCCCTCTCAGTCTCCGAGGCAGAGTTGGGCCGCGGTGTACTCCACTCACCTGCCCAGCGGCTCCACCATCCGCCTCACCCCCCATGGTATCGCCGATTACAGCCCCGCCGTCTCTCCCTCCGGTCAATGGACGGCGCTCCTCCCTCCGGTCAATGGACGGCGGTCGCCTCTTCCGGCGAGCGCGGATGGACTGGGGAGGTACAGGAGCTCAACACCGACATCTACATATTCAAGACTATTGATGGATCGGCACGAACTTTGGTAATCGAGCATGGCGGATGGCCTTGTTGGGCCGATGACTCCACTATCTATTTCCATCGTCGGAGCTCGGATGGATGGTGGAGTGTTTACAGAGCAGCTATTAGCACTCATGGAAACGCCCCTTTGCTAATCTCTCTTGACAGGATCACCCCTCCCGGTTTCCATGCCTTCACTCCGGCGGTAAGCGCTGCTGCTCCAGAGCTCATAGCGGTGGCGACGAGAAGATCCAGCTCCCAGTTCCGGCATATTGAGCTACTAGATCTAAGAGACGGAAAGAACGATTATGTTGAGGTGACTCGGGTAATTTCCCCTAAAACTCACCATTTCAACCCCTTCTTCTCCCCGGATGCTAGCAGGATTGGCTATCATAGATGCCGGGGAAGCAGGAATAGCGGAAACCCTCCTTTGCTTCTGGAGAGCATCACTAGCTTATCGCCGGAGAAATTTTCACTATTCAGAATTGATGGGTCTTTTCCTTCCTTCTCACCTGATGGTCGGCAGATCGCCTATGTCAATCTGCCTGGTTTGTATGTAGTTAATTCTGATGGTTCTAATCCACGAGAGCTTTATAATGGCAATGCTTTTGGTACTGCTTGGGATTGGAAAAGAAAAGGTGTTATATACACCAGCGATGGTCCTGACTTTGCTGTTGAAAGTGCTGAAGTTGATGTCATTTCAATTACTCTGAGTGAAGATGATGACAGAGCTGAGCCTTATATCAAAAAACTAACTACAGGAGGGAAGAACAATGCTTTCCCTTCTCCATCACCTGATGGCAAGTGGGTGGTGTTTCGTTCCGGCCGATCAGGTCACAAGAATCTGTATGTAATGGATGCTGTTGAAGGAGAAAGTGAAGGAATTTATCAGCTCACAGAAGGGTCTTGGAGTGACACCATGTGTAATTGGTCTCCTGATGGAGAATGGATTGCCTTTGCTTCTGATAGACATAACCCTGGAGGTGGGAGCTTCTCCATCTACATGATTCACCCAAATGGAACTGGACTGAGGAGAGTTGTGCACAGCGGGGATGGAGGGAGGACAAACCATCCTTGGTTTAGCCCAGACTCTGCAAGTTTGGTGTTCACATCAGACTATGCTGGGGTCTCAGCGGAACCTATCTCGAATCCTCACCATTACCAACCTTACGGAGAAATTTTCACAGTGAAGATTGATGGATCTGACATAAAGCGCCTCACACACAACTCTTTTGAGGATGGTACCCCGACATGGTCCCCGTTCTTCCTGGAGCCGTCTGATGTTGCTGAAACTTTGCGAGGTGTTGCTCATTGCCGCTTTGATGACTGTCACTGGCTCAGCGTGCCGGGCCGGATCAATAATGTCTTGACTGGAACCGGATGTTAAGTTATGAAGCTCGAACAAGTCTTATGCAGAGTTTTGGCCATGGTTGCATGCGTGTAGAGTCTTTGGGGGTATCTATGTAAAGAGTTTAGCTACGTTCTGTGTATATATAGTTCCTGATAGGTGATCTATGAAGGACGGACTAGGTAAGCGTTGTTCTGTTGCAGGAAAATAAGATGTAATAATTGTTGTTTTCTATTTATCCCTGATCTACTTACATGATTCATGAGTTCTTGGCGATAACTAGAGGAGACAAAGATAAGAGAGAAGGCAAGAGATCTGGGATGAGAAGATAAACTAAAAAGGGTCTTATCCATCATAGCTCAAAAGCTAAGGGGCAGGATTTATGCAGATTTTAAGCTAAATCCTGCTAAAAGGCAACAAATGACTCCGTAAATCCCAAAATGACGCTGATTCGCCATAAATCTGGGATTTACTAAATCCTGTGAATCGGCGGACAGTAAATCCGGGACGAGCGAAGCGGAAGAAGGGCACGAACGAGCTTACCTTCCTCAATGGTTTAGGATTTAGGGTTTAGGGTTGGAGCAGAAGGATGAGAAGGATGGGAGTTTCGGTGGCCTCTGTCAGTCGCGATCTCGTCGTTGTCTTCCCGGCTGGCTCTAATCGTGACTATATCGGGAAGGTTCGTTCACGAAGGCGACTGTTTTGGCGAAACCGGGAGAGGAATGACATGGTTTTGGACAGAGACGGAAATTTGGGGAGATTGGGAGAAAAAGAGGGAGATAGGTTTGTGGTTTAAATTTTTTTTTTTAAAGTTAATTTTATTAATTTAATTCATTAATAATTAATAATTAATTTATATATTATCAAATTAATTATAATTAGATAAATTTATAACTATTTTTATTATTTATTTAATAAATAAAAATATGTTTTAATTTTAAATTTTAATAAAATTTAAAGTAATTATTAATTTATATTATTAATAATTGATTGATATTAAATTACTGTTTAGTTAATAATTTGTTTACAAAAAAATTATTAATTATTAATTTATATAATTGATTTTTGGAAGCTTAATAAATCCTGATAAATCCCGCTAAATTCTTCTAAAACTGTCAAATCATTTTTAAAGATTTATCAAAATTTACTCACTAACATACCAAATAGTTTTCAAAATTTAACCATCTCAGGATTTAATAAATCTTGATTTATATGATTTACTAAATTCTATTTAAACTAAATCCTAGTTGCAATCAAGCAACCGAAGAATGTTATGGATGCTTTATATCCAAATTTCCCATTCACCCCCTTCTTTATTGATTTTGTGAACTACAGAAAAATCTATTTTTGTACAATAAGAAAAATAAACAAATAATAAATAAATGATTTGATCATTTTAGACGCGTGGACATTAATCAATTTGTTAAAGAGTATAAGTAGATGGCTATCTTAACAAGGGCTTCTAAGTCTTCTATGAAGTAGGCAAGACGACCTAACTAATAAATTGAAGTGTCCGGTTATTCTTGACTCGTAAGCGGCTTTTAGGCTAGAGTGAGGCTCCATTTGCGGCCGTGTTTTTCGAGAGCGTCGCGGCCTCAAACCGTGAAGTTCTTTTTTTTTTTCGCGTGGTTTCCTTCAGCGGTAGCGGCCCCTTGCCGTTAAATAGGAAGACGCGGGTCGCGGGATCGACCCCGCGGCTTAGCTTTCTCGAACGATAATACCTCCTTTGCCCTGAAACTTGGCCTCGCTCTTCTCGAAAGCTGCCCTAACCTCATTCGGGAAACTGCCGCTCCCTTCCTTGTCGCGAGAAGCCCCTACGTCGCTGCTCCCTTTCTTGTCGCGAGAAGCCCCTACGCCGCTTGTCGTGAAGCCTTCCCTGGCTCCTCTCTATTGCTCATCTTCCACCATCGCTTGGGTGTGGAGTCCTGATCGAAGCCGCTGTTTCTAATCGGTGTGTCTCCTCTCCTCCCAAATTTTTCTTCATATTTTGTTTCTACTTCGTGGTTTATGTATCCGGTGAGTCGTTCCTTTTGTTTTTCGTTGTTTCCCTGTTCATTTTGGGACTCCTTGTACGGGCAAGATAATTCTTAAGGGATATTTCTTAAGGGATATTGATTATAATAGATAAAGATTTAATTTCAATTTTTCTAAACACTCATCTATGGTTAATCTTACAACTCAATTTTACATATTATTCAATTCATGTTATCTCCATTTTTGCAATCTTTATGTTTATTAACCTTTAGTTCTTATCAAATTCTTAAGTGTAATACATATCTATATGGATAAGAGGAAGATGATCCTTTTATGGTTTAAATACATATCATGCTTGAGAAAGCATCCTTCATGATTTGGGCAACACAACTGCAGACATGGTACAAACCAATTAGAAGGTCCATATGAACTTAGAGCCATAAATTTATGCTTAAAACTCAAACGTGAATTTTATTGAATTGAGCATTTAAATTATTTTTCTGAACTTTTAAAAATACTATATGTGAGGAAGATGGTTTTTATTCCTGTTATTTTAGTTGATTTACGTATCACAATTTTCTACTTTCTAATTGATTTTACTGTTGCGTTTCATGGCTTTGTTTTGATATAATAATAACATAGATAATAAACTTATAGAGGTTGCTACACCCGCATTGTGGGAAAAAGAAATGGAAAATAATATTTTGCGATCTTTGCATTAAAGAGAGTAAACGGGGAAATAGACCTACGATCTATTTCAATAAAGAAGAATGACAAAATATTATCAGATAATATTTTAAGGAATGGACAAACAGAGAGTACGACATGTTGCAAATGAGAACAAGTGAGACCAACTGAAGAAGAATTAGAAAATTTGGAAAGAATTGAAAAGGGAATCTACTGGCCTGGGTTGGGATCCAGTGAAACGAGTGCTCTCTCTAATTTGTGTGACCCCTCAACATTAAGCAAGTGCTCTCTCTGATTTGTGTGACTTCTCTAAGACATACAACACTTAAAGTTTTTATCATATAATGTCGTGATAAAAAAAAAAATCAAAAGATTATAGAATAAGATTGAGATTGGAGACTAAAGAATTATAGCAAGTTTTTATCTCAGACTGAAAAACTGATTATTAAGAAAAGTTGTCGATTAAATGAGAATCTTCTTCACTTCTTATGGAAAAGCAAGCTTTTTTGCATAGATAATAAACTATAAAGCTCAGCTTTTGGGCCATTTAAGTGGGAAGCAAATGAAAACAAATGAAAATAATTTTAGAGATCTTTTTGAAATCTATACTTTTTTACTCTTCATGAACTCAAATAAAAAGATAAGAAATAAAAATAAAAGAAAAAAAATTAAATTTGAGTTTTATTCCCATTTGGGGATACTTTAATGCATCCAACAAAAACATAAACCCTCCAATCAAATGAATACCACAAGGAAGTGAAAATCCTAATTTCGGGTTATACAATGTTAGAGTAATTTAAATTTCATCTCTAAATACCTTTGAATATGAAAGTGTCATTTAGTGTCTGTTTGGGGCAGCTGTATGTTATTGAATAATCTGCTGATAAGTTAGGTGCGGTGACCATTACAATTTTTTTTTTTTTTTTTTGGTTTTTTTTTGAAAAAGTCAGACCGTTGCCAATAAGATGCCACCGCACCTAAATAGATGCGGTGTGAAAAAGCTATTTTTTGCGTTTTGAAAACGCATAAGCTGCTATAACGCAGTTTACCCAAACATGTCAGGTTCGTTTTCAAAACGTCACCACACCAAATAAGCTGCCCCAAACGGGCTCTCAGTCTAAAAAAGAAAATTATTTCCCAGAAAAAGATAATTTCATGTTGGAAATTTTTTTTAATATTTTTTTCATGATATCGATGCCTTTCGTTTAAAAGTCAATCCCTCTTATCTTGTAACCTTATCTTGCTGAATCAGTTGATATGCTTGGATGAGTATGCATATTCGTTGGAAATTAGTTTTAAATTTAAATTTAATATTAAACGGATTATTTTTTTTTTAGATTAGTTGAATATAACTAAATTTTTTTTGGGTAAATGTCAATAATGCATTAAATTGTCATTAATTTAAATAATATATTTTAGAAATAATTAAGTAATCTTATTAAAAAAATGTTCATGTTAATATTTGATTTAATACTTAAAAAAATAATATAAATTGATTTTTTAATTTAACTTGGTTTCAAAATAAAAATTTGATCAATAACTAAAAATTTAAAAAAAAAACAAAACTAAGAAAATAAAGAAATTAAATAATTAATACTTTAATAATTGAATCAAATAATTTATATGTAGCTTATTTTTTCAGTTTTAATTAAATAATTATTTTTTTCACAAATAATATTATTTTAAATTTTATTAAAATGCTTTAAGAACAGTTCATTAGACATTTAAAACTTTTAGAGAAATTATTTGTAAAGCTTCAATCTTACTTCTGCTTTACAATTTTTGTTTCATTGTTGAGCTTAAATGGCTGTAGAAAATGATGGTATCACCATTTCCCTTATCGTCGTCTACATTCTATTCTCTTTCCTCCATTATCTTCAACACTTGGGGCCGCAGCCTCACATATTTGCCACCTCCACACTCCCTTCGTCCGCCCGAGCGAGCGAATATTACGTGCGGTATCCATACATGAGGATTGATAATATACCATAATATTAAGATGATATTGTGATGAATACGACCTCAATACTACCTCAATACCATGAATCATCAGCTATCTGCAACTATCATATCTACATGTCATATTTTTTCCCCCCATATTTTTCCCCCCCAAGCAGCAGGTAAAAATATTACGTTTTGACGAATTAGGTGTGAATTAATGATATTAGAGTAATGTTTAGATGAATACCACATAAAATCCCGCAAAAAATTATTCCCCCCGGCCCGCCAATTGTCGGCGTCACCTCATCCATAGCTGAGGTGTATGTAGAGCTGTTGCCCGACACACTATCCAGAGGCAATTTTTTCTCCACAAAATCACCACAATATTATCAATCATATTCATTCCCCAAATAGAGCTCCAACTGATTACAATTTTTGTTTCATTGTTGAGCTTAAATGGCTGAAGAAGATGATGGTATCACCATTTCCCTTATCGATTAGTCTCGTCTACATTCTATTCTCTTTCCTCCATTATCTTCAACACTTGGGGCCGCAGCCTCTACGGTTTCGACATATTCGCCACCTCCACACTCCCTTCCTCCGCCCAAGCGAGCGAATATTACGTGCGGTATCCATACATGAGGATTGATAATATACCATAATATTAAGATGATATTGTGATGAATACGACCTCAATACTACCTCAATACCATGAATCATCAGCTATCTGCAACTATCATATCTACATGTCATATTTTTTCCCCCCATATTTTTCCCCCCCAAGCAGCAGGTAAAAATATTACGTTTTGACGAATTAGGTGTGAATTAATGATATTAGAGTAATGTTTAGATGAATACCACATAAAATCGAGAAAATATTGCATCCAGACCGCCAATTGTCGGCGTCACCTCATCCATAGCTGAGGTGTATGTCGAGCTGTTGCCCGACACACTATCCAGAGGCAATATTTTCTCCACAAAATCACCACAATATTATCAATCCTATTCATTCCCCAAATAGAGCTCCAACTCACGGATGTTGGGTCAACTATTGAAGAATATTACACGAGTGCTGATATAAAAATGCATAAGAATTCCAATCACTGTCTGTCGTGTATACAATTCAATCACTGTCTCTCGTGTGTACAATTGGTCCCACTCTGTATTAAATTATTTAATTTTTTTATTAAAGGTGTTACTGTGCACCTGAAAGAAAGTGATTGGAACCCTAATACATGGGCCCCTCCTCCAACTACCCGGAGGTCTTGCCTTGCCCATCCTCCCCCGTCAAATAAGACGAGAAACCCTAGAACTTCCCATTCGCATCCATTTTCCTCTCCTTCCTCCGCTCGATGGTCGTTCCTCCTTCTCTTTTAAAGACCGTCCTTCCATATCCGGCGATCGCTCCATCTTCGTCTCCACCCATGAGCTTGATCACACTTGACATCTACCTGTTCAAGACCAACGATGGATCGGCACGGAATTTGCTGGTCGGGCATGGCGGATGGCCTTGTTGAGCCGATGAATCCACCATCTATTTCCATTAAGAAGGCTCCGATGAATGGTGAAGCATTTACAAAGCTTCAATTAAAATTGAGGGAGATAATCATGTTCTAATCTCGATTGAAAGAATAACCCTTCCTGATTTCCATGCCTTCACTCCGGCGGTAAGCGTTGCTGCTCCAGAGCTTATAGGCGTGGCGATGAGAAGGGTGAAGTGCTTATGTTGAAGTCAGTACTGTTCGATCCAAATCTATCCGGTAGCCTTGTAGGACGAGAGACTTGTAGGTGCTTGCCTTATAGGGAAGTCCTGCGTTTGCTTGCCTTGAAAAAGAGTCTTGTAGGTGCTCGCCGTGAAGGGGAGACTTATATTTGCTGGCCATGGAGGTGAGTTTTGTAAGTGTTCACCCTAGAGGAAAGTCTAATATTTTCTCACTCTGGAGGGAAGTCTTGTAAGTGTTCACCCCGGAGGGGAGTCTAATATTTTCTTGATCTGGAAGGGAGTCTTGTAGGTGCTCGCCCCAGAAGAGGGTCTTGTAGGTGCTCACCTTAAAGGGAAGTCTAGTATTTGCTCACCCTGGATGGAAATCTTGTAGGTGCTCTCCCTCAAAGAGAGTCTTGTAGGTGTGAGTTAACCCTAAATCTTAATTGATTCATATTTAAGACATTCTTACAACTCTTATCTTTAAAATTCCTGTATTCCCTTTAAACAATTATCTGAAGAGCTTTCACAATTAGAACAGCTTGAGTGTGAGTTAACCCAAAATATATTATAATTTTATTTTTAAAAAGGAGAAATCGATTTATAGCACCCATGTATTCTAAAAACTTTATCTTTTTCACAACAAATTCACGATTAATTTTAAAAATAGCTGTAACCGCCCCTAGGGCTGCAAAACGGCTCCTTGCGGAGGTGAGTTTTGTAAGTGTTCACCCTAGAGGAAAGTCTAATATTTTCTCACTCTGGAGGGAAGTCTTGTAAGTGTTCACCCCGGAGGGGAGTCTAATATTTTCTTGATCTGGAAGGGAGTCTTGTAGGTGCTCGCCCCAGAAGAGGGTCTTGTAGGTGCTCACCTTAAAGGGAAGTCTAGTATTTGCTCACCCTGGATGGAAATCTTGTAGGTGCTCTCCCTCAAAGAGAGTCTTGTAGGTGTGAGTTAACCCTAAATCTTAATTGGTTCATATTTAAGACATTCTTACAACTTCATCTTTAAAATTCCTGTATTCCCTTAAAAACAATTATCTGAAGAGCTTTCACAATTAGAACAGCTTTAGTGTGAGTTAAACCAAAATATATTATAATTTTATTTTTAAAAAGGAGAATCGATTTATAGCACCCATGTATTCTAAAAACTTTTATCTTTTTCACAACAAATTCACGTTTAATTTTAAAAATAGCTGTAACCACCCCAAACCGACCCTAAATTAAAAATTATTCTTCAAAAAATGCCCAAATATAAAAATTGGAGGAAAGAATATCTCTTCCAATTGCAAAGATTAAAACTGAGAAAGCTTTGAGATTCATAACCTCCAAACACAGGATTGAAAGCACCAGCTTTCAAGTTGTCAATTTTAAGTCACTTCTCTCCTTTGCTTCTCAACTTAAACCAAATTATGAACAAAATTTTAGTTTAATTGGTCCCATAATAGCAGAAGCAACACAATAATAGCAGAAGCAACACAACCTTAAAACACAAAAGCAGGTAATTTTCCATTCTAGCAATCAAAAAAACAAAAACATTGATCTATATCACAACTATCATCCCTGCCAATTATCTACCCACATCTCATACCCCCCACTGCTCTGTCGTATGATCTAAAAGCCCTAGCTCCCATCAGATAAACAATTACGCAGCCGGAAAATATAAAAATGGCCAGCACGTACGAAAAGTAAGTATATCTTAAGAGAACATGAAAATTGATGGCATTCACAATTCTGAGAAAAAGATGGAAGAATAAACAAAAAGACAACCAGTTTCAGGGTGAGCGGTAAGGTTCCTGAAACCTGAGAGGAATGGCTTCGTTCTGATAGCCAGATTCATTCGCATGCTTGGGGTTTCGAAGTGGAAGAGAAGATGCATGACCTGCAATAGAAAAAACATAAATGCATTTCAGGTTTGGATGTTCAGGTTTATGATAAGAGTATCAGATTGTGACATTGTAGTTCTAAATGTACCATCAACCATGTCCTTCGTTTTGTGAAGCAGAAAAGTACCGGAGAGAATTGTCACAAAGCCACACATCTCTGTGACTATTTGTGTTGGATTTTGCCGATCCCAGTCCTGACATTTAAAGATAAAAACAATGGCAAAACACATTTCATTTAACTACAAATCCTTAACCGTACCTAGAAAAGTATTCATTTAAAAAGATAAACTAACTTAGAGATCTAAGTTATATGCAAATTGGGAGAAGACATCCATTAAAGGCAAAGTAAATTCAGCATGTGCCTAGGAATTTATATGTCTCCGAATGTGATTTGCGTAAAGGATCCACAGAAGTTTTAGTTTCCCAGAATATTCTAACTTATCTGAGATTATGATGGAACTAGAACAACTAACAGTTTCAACTAAATGCATTCATACAATAGAATAGCATAGCTAAGCCATGATTGAAGTTCAAGCCAAATGATTTCCCTGTACGATTTAAAGCAATTAACATATAACTAAAAGATGATATTTAATTAACTTCCACCACAAATTAGAAGAATCTATGTATTCAAACTAGATCATCAATAAAATAAATCAAGATGAAGTCCTTACTGAGAAATCATTAACTGGCCAGAGGCTATTATACGAGCCCCGGCAATCACGCCTAAGAATTCGAGTATCACACCCTACACTCGGGGGGAATCGAACTCTAGACCAGAGGGGACTTACAACTGACAAGCAGATGCCCAACCAATTGATCTCAGAAATCATTAACTTCTTCAATCAGAATTGCCAAAAAAATTACGACAGATGAATAATTAGTTAAATATAATCATCAAAGAAACTGAAGTGCACAAATACTCCTTTGAAAATGTATTAGATGCAGAAGAAGGTTTATTCATGCAACATCAGTCTATATCAAACTATGGTGAATATAGTCTGCAACAATATTAGAAATTTTTCATGAACCCAAGCGTATATACTTGAGAATTGCAAATTATATTTGGATTTGGAATTGAACTCGAGTTTGAATCTACACCTCCATCAAAAACTTAATTTGATATTGAAAGTGAATATGCAACATAAATTGAACCACCAAAATTGTAATTAAAACCCTGGGGCTTCTTATTACCACATCTAAATTCTTTATAATGGAAATCTACATTCTTTATAATTATAATATTTTCTCATTATTGAGACTATTCTGATTTATTGTTTTTTCTTTATTTCTTTCTTATATTAGATCAATATTATCAAAGCATAAAACGTAATGCGAAACACAAGGATTTATTTTTAATTCAAAGCATAAAGCGCAAAACGCAAAGTGAAGTGACACTATTATTAATCAAAGTGCTAATATGTTATATAAAACTACTAATGTATAAATGCCTTCATGAATGATTATAAAACATGAAGTATAACATAAATGTTGATATAAAATAGAAAAGAACGTGGAATAATACCCAACATGAAAGCAAACATTGAGAGAGAGTTTATTTCTTTTGAAAACTAAACATTTGAAGTAAATTGCTTTGATATTATTTAAAATTTTTGTTGAAACCTAGTTCTTTTTGGTTCACGCTCATTGCCTAAAAACAGGGGTATTCACATACATACCACCCAATTTTTATGTATTTAGGTGTTAGATATGTAAATACATAGGAATTGAGAGGCATGATCGGCTAAATTGAGGTCTAGGCCAAAGTCAAAGAAAGAATGCAAATTTTGAAGCGTGCTTCAAAATCTGGTTCAAAGTCAAAGAGATGCTCAGCTCCCTTATGCTCCTCGAACTCTCGAACAAGATTGTCCGCTTAACGCTCCTTCATACACTAAACTAAAGCTTTTACTTGTTCTCGTTAAACTATGAATGGGCTAACTAGCTTCAACAAAGAAAGTGGATATCAAGCTCTTCACTTTGCTTTGACGTGAAGTACACTTTTAAAAACATTTACATTGTTATATATATATATATATATATATCTTAATGCTTGAATTATAAAAACAATTTAGTTAAATCTAGTATTTATAATTTTATTTTCTAACATAATGACAAAGGCCTATCATAGAATCATCACAATCTTACCTAACCACCTTCCCGCCATCTTCATTTGCCTTATACTCGGGATATATCTCTTCCCAGATCACCTCAGCGTTGGTATCGTTCTCCTCAAACATTGCTCTACTGTCAAGCCCAACCACCTTGGCCTCAAACTTTATCTCTTAGATTTGTTTGGCTTCCTACTATAGTATTTTGGCATCCTTCAAACAAGGAGCTCACCATAATCAGTCCAATGTTGGAGAAAGTTTGTTGTAAATAACTTTAATGTTTATTTTCTTGCAGCACTCTTCCAAATTTTAATGCCTTATTTGCAGCAACTACATCTATTTGAATAAGAAGTTGTGGAGTTACTGCAAAAGCAATTGATTTTCAAAAAGTTGTTATGACTATTACAAATTTAATTTATTTTCAAAATATCAGACTGCAGCTTTCAGACAGACACACGGTTTAACAGCTCATGTTGAAAAAAATAGTTTTCCACCAAAGAAATTTTAAAAAACAGCAAGAAAGCAGTTTCCCAAAAAGAACTATAGTGGCAGTCTGAAAAACAAGATAGGCAAAAAAGTATCCCAAACAGACTCTAAGCTTTTCCCTTGTTACTCAAGATTACCTGCTCACTGCTAATCCCACAAGCTTGCCCAATGTCAATCAAACTACACATATCATCATCTACCACTGAAGCAGCTGGTCTTTTTTATTTCTTGCAAATTTGTACACCGCGATGATCTTCTCTATTCTACAAGGGTGATTGCACTAATAACTTTTGTCCTTGCTATTACAACCACTTCATTAATGCTCTGAATCAATACTCTTTATTGAGTCTGAAACGGGAGATTTCCATATTTATCGAGTCTGAAACGGGATATATCCATATTGCAACACTATAGTTGCTACAGTGCCGCAGACGTGGTACTGTAACTGCTACAGGTGCAGCCCTTCCCTCCCCTCTCCTTTCCTATTCCCAAACCCTAGCCAAATTTTGACAAATTCTAATTTTCTTTGCTGATTTTCAAAATCCCAAATTAGTTTTCATACACCTTCAATGAGTCTCCTACACCCTATTTCTCCTAGCAACCCTAACCTGTAGTCATGCCACCAAGAAGATACATGCCTGAGCCTATCCCGGAGGAGATACAACGAGAGATCCGCCGACTTCAGCGGAAGCTTACGGACATTGAGGATGAAACCCGAAGGGAGATTACTCTCGATTGAGATATGAAAAACTGAATGGGAGCAAGAGATGAGAATCTTAATTCCTTCCATAGGGAGGACTTTAGTGATGCATAAGACCAGCCATAAAATTTTAAAATCCAATATCAAATAAGGCATAAAGAAAAGCCAACATTTGAGAACGAGAGAATCTGCATATGAAGCGAAAGACAGTGTTAGTTCCTACCAGCCTACTACAAACAAAGGATGTCGACTCTAACTTCAAAAGTGGAGAGATCACATCACCAAGCAAGCCCCGCATCTTACAAGCAACGCTCAACCTCAGAGTATTACAGTCGGACTACACCCAGAAGAATATCCAAGCTGACCCCGTCAGACGAAAAGTCGAGTCAGAGTGGAGAAAAAGTAGAACCAATCCGCATCCCTGAATTTATCCCAGTCAGGAAATGCTACAAGTGTCACAGATTTGGGCGTGTTGAATCGGATTGCACAACCAGGGGGTTCTATTTCATCGAGCAAGGCGCTCTTGAAAAAATTAGGTAATGATATAGTAGACACTAAAGAAGATGAGGACACAAAGCAGAAAGACCAGCTCCTAGTTGAAGAAATAAATAGTGATCCGGAAGAAAATGAGGAATTCAGAGAGGATTCTCAATTTTCAGCCAACAAGGAAGAGACTTCATTGATTCAAGTTAACTGTGAGTTTGTAGCCTGTTGTAGAATCTCCTTTTTCTTTTAGGGCAGAGGATAAAGAGATGCTTCAGGAGCAGTAGCCAGGGGTCAAGAGGAGCATTGGTGAAAAAATTTGGTAATGATATAGTAGACACTAAAGAAGATGAGGACACAAAGAAGAAAGACCAGTTCAGAGAGGATTCTCAATTTTCAGCCAACAAGGAAGAGACTTCATTGATTCAAGTTAACTGTGAGTTTGTAGCCTGTTGTAGAATCTCCTTTTTCTTTTAGGGCAGAGGATAAAGAGATGCTTCAGGAGCAGTAGCCAGGGGTCAAGAGGAGCATTGGTGGAGCATCTTCAAGTCATTGTAAAGGAGAGGAAGATAAGTTTATTGTGTCTTTCTTAGTGTATTTCTGTTGTAAACATTTGGATAGTGGAATTCTCTTGTTTTAATGATTTGATGTGTTGTTTCTTTCATGTTTTCTGAGTAGTACAATTTACCTTACCTTATGATGATTAAATAGAATGTGTAGGAATGTTAAGTGATGAAAAATTGTTTTTAATTACTTAATGTGATGATTAACTTTCAGATATTCATTTACTTTTCATTCTGTCCAAATGAAATGCTAAAATATATTGTGAATCATAATGACTCGGGAGAGCAATGATAGAATAGACTAGGTTGGTCAAATTAAACTGTGGAGTATAGGTGGACATACTTTGTAAGAAGATGCAAATGTTAGAGAAATAATATTTGATGGATTCAAAACAGAATTTAAGGAATTAAAGTTATTTTAACTAATCTTCTTTATGTACTCGAGAAAGGGTAAAGAAGAGAGTTGCTCCAATTTGTCATTAGCCAAATTTAAAATTTGCACTTTTCATTTCTTGCACTCCACTTACATCATTACAAGGGAGGGTAGCTTTAGAACCTAATTTTCATCAATCCAACACCTAGTTAAGTAGGATTTCTGTAGGATCTAAACTTTACATTTACTTTAGATATTATAGGATTAGTTTGTAGGATTTTAACCCAATCTAAATTCCAAGCTAAGAACGAAACTAGTAGAATAGAACTTTTCCTAAGTCTAATTCCCTCATTTCCTGTGGGATCGACATTTCAGACTCAAAAATCCAATATTATTGACACTACACGTGCACTTGCATGAGTCCCCAGAGTGTAGTTGAACCTGGAAGCAGTATCATAGGCGTTCTCTCCCTAATCCTTCAATGAGGTAAGAAGTCCCTCCAAACAAACTCTAACTCTAAGACTCCTGACAATAATAACAAGCATAACCATAACCCTAAGAATATTAGTCCTATTTATACAAAATAATAATAAATAATAAAAAACTAAATTGCCCTTATGCTAATAAAAGATAAAATTGCCTTTAGACTAGAGACCGACATAACAATATTGTTTTTTTCAAAAAGAAATCTTGTTCTCAAGATGGGAAAAACTACTATCGAATCAAGTCGTGTGGCCCCCGCTCATAAACTGGCTTGAATCTGGTTCTCGTCGTCAGCTTTGGTACACTTGTCATAGCCTTCTTCAACTTCTCAAAAGCATGGGTCGTAACTTTTCCCCACTGAAATTTATACTTTTAAATTTCTTCGTCTACGGTCACACAATCGAATTATAACCCTTCAGGCACTTCCAATAATGTTATATAAGTCCCCTAAACCTTCTCAACTGCTTACAGGTCTTAGGTAGTGGCCCTTCCAACTTATCCACCACCTTTGATAGATTCACTGACACCATAATCTTACACAAACTAAAGTCACCGTGAACCACAATCTTATCTCCCTCCCGAAACTCAATTGTCAAAAATTTCAAATTCATCTTAGTTTCTCCTACGGATTGCAACCATTTCAAACCCAATATCACGTCAATGCTCCCTAAATCGAAGGGAAGAAACTCTTCTGTCACCCAAATGTATAGTAATGTTAAAATTACTCATTTACAAACTCCCTTGCTCTTATCCACCTTTTTCGTTCCCATCATGGCAAAGATAATTTCATAATTTGATCAACATGCAGTTGTAAAGTAAACATTACATAATGTTTCGTGTAACATGTCCGCTTCAATATTATTTCAAATTTAAATGAAAAAAAAAAGAAATCTTTGCACATCCTATTGCCCTTTGTGCATTGATAACCATAAAATAAGAAAGAGACGTTTTATTGATTTTTCTAAAATGGTTAGCATATTTCCTCCTGTCTAATACATTACAACATGCCATATATAATTTTTTAAAAACACAACCTAATTCGCCATACCAGCATTTCTAGATAACTAATGTGTTGGTATATTTCTGTCCAGATTTTCCTAGAAAACTAATTTCAGTGCCATCTATATTCTGGAATAGAATATAATTCTTACACAATCACATTTGAACTTATTGAAGCTTGATTTTCTAAGGTTCCAGTACAATATATAACTTTGGAATATAAATTTAGCCTGTTATTTGTTTGGAACTTCTTAAATACTGCCAGATGTGTTTCACTTAAAAAACAAATACGATTGCACAATCACAGGTCCATAACCTATTTCATCAACAGAACTACCCTTGACTGCACGTATAGTCGAACATTATATATAGGAGGTTGGCCTAAAGTTTTATTGCTGTAACTCACGTGAAAAACCAGCAACACCTACTTCCCAACTTACATCCTTGTCCGCCTGCCTCCTCCTAAGAATCTGATTTACCAAATCTTCATCTTCAAGAAGTTAAGAAAGCACGCTTCTGATAACCTAAAAGGTTTTATAAAAGCTAGATGTATGAGCAATCAGTTTTGAAAAATGAGGCGCTTCATGTGTACAGTCTCCGCCATTCTTGCTTTCTCTGTTAAAGGTGACTCTTTGGGAAGAGCTATTGCTACTATAAAAGCTGATGACCAGGAGATGGCACTTTCAAGCAATTGACTCCGAGTATTTGGTTCCATTTTTTGAGATTATAGACATGCGCAAACAGCAATTAAACTCTAGATGAAACAACTTTTCATCGATGAATCCTGCAAATGCTATTTGAAAGTCCACCACAAAATGCCAAATTAATCATTACAGCATAAGGATTAGGACAGGATTCCACGAAAGAATATGATGCGCAAATAACCGTAACTTGCACTGGAACTTTGCAGCTATTTTCTGTCTGCAGACAGCTAACCTAGAAATTCCAAGCTAGTAAGCTGATCCCCAAAAAGGAAAAAAACAACACAAAAAAGTGTATGGTTTTTAATGGATCAAAGAATGAGATAAAAGGAGAAGAACATATATACTTGGAACTACATGAAAATTAAGTATTGGAGGTGATACGATGTTGTGCAACTTTAGCTATGTCAGCAATGCTTCTTGCCGTAATGGACTGCAGGAATATTTGAATAAGTGGCAGACGGAGTGGGACAGGAAAGATGATGAGAACACAAGCAATCTTATTCAATGGTAGAAAAAAGATGAAACATTACGCTGAAAAAAGATATCTCATTTGCATAAGCAATCATTCAGCACATCTAAAAATAAGAGACAAGGAAATAATCAACGGAAAAAAAAACTTGAAACATTACCTTGAACATTATTACACTTGCCAAAATAGTTAAGGATGTAAACATGACATAGTATATTGGAGAAACAACTGCAGTATTGAACGTATCAAGTGCCTGAAACAGTCACAGGCACTTAACTTCAGATCAATGGACTTTTAAATAGAAATATCAATTTAATTAGACAAAGCAGCGTGATATGAACTAATACAGAAACAACAAAATCAGCCAATTTGTTAACAATGATGTGAAGCAACATAAAATGCTGATATCATCAATGTTACTTGATTGTATTATTCCTTATGCTCTATAGAAATATCCATATTTTTGCCATACCTTCAGAGCATAAATCAAAAGAACGACGGTATAACTGCTCATCAATGCAAAGAGAAAAAAATGGGTATAAATGACAGCCAATAAAAGCTTAGAAATTTAACGCTTTCTTTTCACAAAATAAGTTAGAACTTCATCTTCAAGATCAAACAGCACAATTTTCCTACAAAATAGTTCAGAAATAAACATATTCAATAAGCTCACTAACCAACATGTCCTAAAAATAGCCTAGAAAGAAAAAAGTTCACTAAATTCTAAAGGTAACATAGCATCATCCTAAACACTAAATCAAGTTAAGAGCACCAAAGAACCAATTTAACTTCCACTCCCCACTTCCATGAAACAAAAAAACTCTTAACTCCCCACTATCCCCAAGTTTCAACGTAACCAAGCCCATTACAATTTCAAGCAACAATAATCAGAAAAAAGAAATTATGTTGTCACTTTCATATTACTTTCATATTGTAAGTTTCAGAAAGTAAGTAACCTTAGCCCTCCTTCAGCATACCTGCACGCCTATACCCCACTCTATCACCACCATCAACACCCCAAACGGAGAAACAAAGGTTTCCAACCCGCAGAAGTTTATTAATAGCATGAATTCAGATCAATATACAGAGCAAGTTAATATTATTTTCACCATACTTTCTGAAAATTGCTAAGACATTTAGAAAGCATAAGTATTTAGGAGCATATAAACAAAAAATGATAGTTACATAGAACCAAAGCTTGAAGATATATTTATGCAAACAGTTAGTCTCTGTTCTACGGGATTGAAAAATACACATGGCATGAAAATTTTTCTGAGAAATGAATAGACTCAATGAATTCCATTAGTAGTCTAGCATCATCTTGAAAAAATAAAAAAACTAGAATAAAAAGCCAAGTCGCATCCTTATAGGACAAATCTACCTTAACAGGTTATGACTGTAAAACGCTTACCTATTTTGCCTTCATGAATTTATGCTTTTTTGTAGTTCATCCAGTAACTCATAAAAGTTGAGAAATCAAATATACATAATAAAAATTTTAAAGCTAGTTTCATATGCCTGAACTTTATAAGAAAATAAATAAATTAGTTTGAATAGGCAATAGTTTGCCCAGCTTCTTATAACTCTAGCCTCAGCCTCCAACACTCTGAATGGCATTGCAATCAAACTCTCAAATGAATCCGAAAATGCTTTTAAGAAACAATCTATCATTTAAACATGCATGTTAGTATAAAAGGACAAGTAATTCCAAAAGGATCTCCAGTTCCATCAAAATTTCTTATCTAGAATCCTCCAATGGATTTAAAAAAAAAAAAAAAAAAAAAAAAAAAAAAACTTTGTAGGTTATATTCATCTAATGAAAGACAATAAATTAATAAGTGTCAATAAAAAAGTATACTCTAAACTTCCATGACATTGTAGCTATATCATTATCAAATTCTTACATGGTACAATTTCCAAAAAAATATTTAATTATTTACATAAAAATGATTAAAAGATGGATATAATTTAGTTCCTACTTTTAAACCTCACCCGCAAAACGATGACAAATGATAACTTAGTCTAGTGACTTGTCCTTTCTTTAGAAATTTTTTTAAGTTACCTTCTGGTCCAACCTCTCATTAGGCGTAGGCTAGTACTTGAGATTATATGAGTTAATAGGATTTACCTATAAATATCCTCTTGTTATGTCAGGGGGGAGAGGTTTTTTTTTTTTTTTTTTTTTTTTTTTTTTTTTTTTTTTTTTTTTTGAGTTCATGGTCAGGTTGCATCCTCTGAGTCTTAGGGAGGATTCCCTAGTGTACGAGAGCAGAGGGAGAGATGAAACAACAGTGTAGACCAAAGCTTTGCCAAGATTGATTTGCCTAAACCCTAAAGCCTTTCCCATAAAGTCGAGATTAATTCGGGGCATTCAGAATACAGAAACAGTTATTGGATTTATGGTTCCCAGCTATATTTCAATCCCCATTCCATCAAGGTCTACAAACAATTCAAAATTGATGTTCCTGGCTCTATCAGCGTCCAGGCTCATTAGAAATAGGGATTTTGAAGTGGAGAATACATTTCAACCACCTACCAAAAGCGGGGAATCCATTTCATCCAGGCTTATGCTTTTTAAATATTTACAAGTTATTTAACTGAAAAAAAAAGGATAGGAAAAGGAAAAAGAAGGAAGAGGAGTAGAAAGAAGAAATGAGAGGGAAAGATAAATTTTGAGGTAAGAAAAAAATTTAGGCTTATCATTCTCAAGATTAGATTTAAATGAGAAATTGTAAGTGTGGATGATTTTCTGAGATAAGAAAGATAACTTTTGGCCAGAAATTTCAAAAATTGTCGTAACTGACAAAGTGTGTTCAGATTTGGGATAAGCGCCTTAAAGAGTTTGAATGTCCAAGTGAGGAAAAATTCAACTAAAATTATTATGTATTAATTAAGTTTAATTTATGAATTTTCCTAAACTTAAAGAGAATATTCCAAGCCATGTATACAAGACAATGAGCACAAGGCGAGCCTACGGAAGAGGCTCATCACGACGTTGAACCAATAACACATGTGAGATATTTAATTACTAAATTAAGAAATAAATTTTCTATATGATCATTACTTGCTAATATTCATTGCTATATTCATTTATTACGTTAAGTGGCATTTAGAAATTTCTTTCATATTGCACTTGATTATCAATGTAGCCTGATCTACTAATTTCACATTGATGCCTGCATATTTCCAATTCATAGTATTTCACAGACAAACAAAATTAAATGCAAATTGTTGATTTTACTTATTACATTGTACTTATTAAGCGCGTTAAAAAAGATAATTGTTGCAAGCGCATCCAAGTTAAATAATTAAATGCATATGGAAATGATTATAACAGGTGAAGAAAATCAAGAAAATGTCATGTGTTGTGATAGGTAAACTACTTTACCTATGACTTGCGCGGAGGGCAAAATTTTGACCAGATGAGCCCAAATAGAAAAATAATTGAATTTCCAACTATTGATATTGAGATTAAAACAGATCATTTGGTATCATGAGAATGTTGATAAATGTCATGTTGGAACGACCACCCTTTATCAGAAGATACCATAGATGATAGGTTGAGTGATCATCAGAAAAAATGAAATGAGTCAAAGTCTATGCAAATATAAGATGATATTCTAAGAAAGAAATAGTGGAGAATAAAAATAAAAATGCAAGTAAAATAATTTCACGCATTGCGTTGCATTATGTGATGAATAAAAGAATTGCCACTAGTCATTTTATTTATTCTAACTGCTACCTCTAGTACTACTTCCAATGATATTTTCTGAATATTAAAACATATTTTTTTATTTCCAGTGTTATCATCCAGGTTAGCGTTTGATCTTATTTTAAAATTATTTATTTCATTTAGCCTGTAGCTTACCCAATATAATTATGTTGCTTTTCATGGAGGGATACAGAGTAATTGGACCGTCAGCCAGTTGATTTGTCTTTCGTACAGCTTCTGAATGTAAAAGTTTTGGTTAAATATAGAAGAATTTTTGGGTACATAAACTTTTATAATTAAGTTTTTAGAAGCTCTGTATACTATTTAAAGACTATTTTGCATGTTCTCTCATGTATGTTTCATATGAATTAATATTTAATGAATTGAATTGTAATGGTTTACTTGAGAGACAATTTAGTAAGACCAGTAAGACCACTTCTTCACTCACCTAGTCCTGATTTATACAAGTCAGGATAAGTGCTAGTAAAAATTGAGTCAAATTAAGTTAGTCCTTTTTTACACCTCTAGTTGACCTGAGGATTGAATGGAGTGTGATACCAAGTGTGCTAAAATTAATGAAAGTTGGCTGGAATGGATCCAGTCGCACAATGGGGGCTGATTAAAAACCTAATTTGAGTCTTATAGCTTACCCGACATAGTCTCCATAAGCTGTCAACTGAAAAGTTGGCAAGAATGTGGAGGCTATTATACCTAAAAGCCTGAGTTGAAACCTTCAGAAGAAAAAAAGATTTTTTTTTTTTTTGGGTTTTATTTCTATTTTTTTCAAGTAGGATTACTCATCTTAAGTTGCAGGATAACTTCCAACAATGCACCATCAAATAATTCTTACCCGTCATCATTTATGATTGTATAGAACTTTTAACTTTACTGAAAATATTCTTGAGATTAATTCAAGAAGAAACATAGATTACACTTGGCAAGAGATAAATTAAGTAGTTGTGGAAGAAAATCTTATGCAACAACAACAAGCTTCTATCCATTGTATGGATGGCTACACAAATCTTTTTCTCCATTGTCTCCAATTGAGTGTCATATTTTCATTTAATTCTAATAAATTAAGATCATTTTTCAGACAACATGCCCAAGTCTTTTTAGGTCATTTCTACCTTTCTTAACGCAAGTCAAATCTAAAATATCTACTCTCCTAATTAGGTCATCAGATAGTCTACGTTTAATGTGACCAAACCATCTAAGATGACACTCTCTAATCTTGTATGCCACTGGAGCTACACCAAACCTTTTGCGGATATATTTGTTTCTCAATTTGTCTCTAAGTGTAAGGTCATTCATCCACCTAAGTATTCTCATTTTAGCAACACACAATATGCCCAATGCTTTCCTTTGCTTCAACCATCCAACTTGAATTCTATAAATAAAATTCCCATCTATATCACAATCACTTTGAACAATAGACATAAGATACCTAAAAAATTCACTCTTTTTAATGATTTGATCACCCATTATTACAAACCCGCCACTAGATCTACTACTATTAAAGTTACATTCCATGCATTCAATTTTAGATCTAATCAAACGAAAGCCTTTAGACTCTAAAATTGACCTCCACAATTCAATTTTTTTTACTAAACTCTTTCTCTAGTCTTATCCACAATAAGGCTATCATCAAAGAAAGCTTACACAATGGTACATCCTCCTATAAATGTCCTATAAGAACATCCATAACTAAAGCAAAAAAAATACAAGCTTAAAGCCGAAGCCTGATGTAATCCAAATGAAATAGGAAAATACTTGTTCAATCCTCCTTCTGTTCAAACAAAAGTAACAGCTCTAATATACATGTCTTTAATGACTTGAATATAAGTTATATCAACATTTTTATTTTCTAGAACTCTCCTAAGTACTTCTCTTGGATCCTTATTGTCAGTTTTTCTAAATCAACAAAATCATATGTAAATCCTCCTCATTCTCACCATACATCTCCATCAACCATCTTGATAAAATTATAGGTTTTATAATAGCCTTTACAGACATAAATCTAAATTGCTTTTGAGAAATCTTTGTATCATGTTTAATACCGGGATTAGTTGGGATGTGACATAATACAAAGAAAGTAAATTTTTATTAATATTAAAATAGTGATACAACACGACTCAAAAAAAAGAGAAATACAATAATAGCAGAGTCCCTAGCTAGAGCTACTCTGCACCCGAATTCGGGCACCGTTCCAAGTGTTTGCATCAACGTCCTATCCTATATTCAATTACCCGCTCTAATAATTTTAATGTATGACACATTAACTTAATTCCTCTATAATTTGTACACACTTGTGCATCGCTTTTATTCTTAAAGATAAAAATCAAAATACTCTTCCTACACTCTGGCATCTTTTTTTGTTTTTAAAATAATATTAAAGATTTTAGTAAGTCAAGCTATTCACAAATCTCCTAAATATTTTCACATTTCTATTAGAATACCATCAAGTCCGACTAAATTTTCACAATTCATTTTCTTTAAAGTCTCCTCAACTTTTGTTTTATAAATGTGACATAAAAATAAAAAAAATTATTATTATTATTAAGATCACCAAAAGACAATCGTACTTTCAAAATCTTAACTGAAAATTTTATCAAAATATCTCAACCATTTAAGTTACATGTTTTCATATAAGAAAAACACTTTTTGATTTTTATTCATAATATATTTTATTTGAACTAAATCTTTATTTTTCTTATTTATTTGTTTGGCTAGTTTTTAGATATATCTTTCACCCATTTTAGTATATAATCTATTATAAAGATCACTAAAAACATATTTCTTAGCATACAAATTGTTTTCTTAGACTTCTTATGGGTCACCTTATATTTCTTTCAAACTTTTACATTTAAACCAATTTTTATAATAATTTTTTTTATATTTTATATTATTCCACCACTAACTATTTTTATTTAGTTTTTAATTTTGATTCTTCAAATACATCTTCTGCAACACACTTAATAGAGCTCATTATTTCTTTCTTATAAGAAGAAAAAATAAGTCAAGGCAACTTGTGTGCTTAAGGATCTATTAGGGAACCAACAAAAGAGAATTAAAAAAATCAAACTGAACATAGCTAAACACAATACACACAGAAAGATGTCATATAAAATTAGTAATCATAAACTGAGCTATCATAGTATGAGAGGAAACGAAAGATAAGCATTATTGAAGATCAATTATCTAGCAAGCATATTTCCATTTTTTTTCTCATTGGTTTGGTTCTATTTATAAAGAATATTTAGTTAACTGTTGTAAGAATAAATTATTCAAAATAATATCATCAAGTGATTTTCTTCCTCAGTGGTATCTCTTCCTTTAATAGGACACAATGACAATGGAGAAAAATGATTTCCCCATGTAGTGGGATTAAGGCTTTGTTGTTGTTGTTGTTGTAGCATTTGTTCCTTTACATGGTATTTTAAACAAAAGATAGGAGAAGGAGCATCATCCACTTCACCACGCCTTGCAATTAAACCCCCACCCCCCTGCACTCTTCGATAACTCACACTTCAGATTACAACATGCAAGTTGAACAGAAAAAAAATTATTGCAAATGTCACATTTTGTTCAAATGGTTGTATGCAAAAAATAAAAATAAAAAAAGGATGCTGTTATGCCGCGATGAGAAGACCAGAGCAAAGTAATCCTACATATTGATTATGTGGTATGAACAGCAAATTTTGGTTTCTTATTTAATATAGCTTCTCCTCTTAAGTTTTGGCTTGTTCTTGATGTAGGCAACAAGTTAATTTTTTTTTTTACTTTTGAGTTCTCTGCTGAATAGAAGTATATTGTTGTATTTTGCCTCTATTTTACTGAAAATTCTCCTTCTATGTAAGTCATGGCCAGAAAATAGATAGTTGTGACAGAGGCGACCAGTGGGTTTTGGACTTCAAGAGATGGTGGCAGAGGCTAAAAAGATTCAGGTGATTGTGTAGTCACAATTTGGGGTTGGAGAGTTTAGGAGAGGATAAGAAAAAAAAGGTTTTGAAAGAGAATTGGATTAATTCTATTATAAAAAATAGGCTATTAATAGAAATTTTTCATTAAGAATTCAATATGACATTGATCATATCCTACCAAAACTAACTATACAGAAGAAAAGCCGATCCTAAACAAACTCTACAATGTAGGAAAACACTCTCTTAAACTTAAACACAAATTTATCCAAATAAAATTCAAAATAAGCCCTTTTCCAATGAAATTTCTGAATAACTTCATACTAGGATTGCCTGCCATACAAGATTACTTTGTTTGGTCAGCAATGAATATCATAATGTTCTCTTAACTTTCATCCAACGGTCTAGATTTTCTATCTCACAATCTTGATGATCATGCATTTGACCAATGATCCGATTTCAATTCTGGAATCATGCTGCTTTAATCTATCATCCCAATCAAGCAATCAGGAAATTACAATAAATGGTGGCTTTCACCAACAAATTTGAGTATCAAAATTTCAATGACCCCAATCCATTTGATTTTTTAATGATATAATGTGCAAATCATGATCAAAGACATCAGATTAATCAGCCTCTTGATTAAAATTCTAAATTAAAAGGGTTGGAGGGGTGAGGAAGGGAGGCAGAAAGGAGAAAGGCAAACAAAAAGGAAAGGGAACAAGATCATTTTTATTAATTACACCATGATACCTACTTTTAATGCGATGTTAAACTAAAAATCTTCGTCATTAAAAATAGAGAAATGTAGAAAAAATTCAATTTTAGTAATGAAAATGGAAAGAAACTACAAAATGATGCTCAGAAAATATTTATTATGAAATTACATTTCATGTTACCATATTTAGCCTCCCGTGAAGTAAAACAACTGCATAAGTACAACATATATGCATTAAAATCTGACTAGAAACTCCTCAAGCATTTTGAATATGGTCACACATGATTCAGGAGAGTTAGAAGATGGAACATGAGAATTAGTCCCTCAAGTTTGAATCCTAAATATATTTGTCCCGCAGATTGCTCATTTCAAAAAGGCAAAATGATTCTAATTCTAGAATCCACAGACTATAATATAGAAGTCTAGCAGTGCAAAAGAGATGTATTAAGAGCGCTTAATAATAGCAAAAGGCTAGCATAATAATTACGACAATTTCTAGATCTATCTCAATATTTTATTTTGTCTAAAAAGGGCGAAAAACATGATTGTAATTATATTCCAAAGCAACAGCAGGAGGATAGAGAAGACAACAGATAAAACACGCCCTACTAAAAGCTATAATGAGATTATAAGTAGATAAATAACAAATATAACAAATAAATAAAAACTAATTTGCAATACCTTGTTAAGATAGTTCATCTGGGTAACAACACAGAAAACAACTACTATTGCAAAAAACCAGGTTTGTGGATATATTAACTGATTTGTGCCTGAAAAGGTCAACTTTAAAGCTATTCCAAGAGCTTTCACACCCATTACCTACAAAGATAATACAAATCCAAATCAAACTAGGAAAACAAGTCAAGAATATAGAAAAGAAATAAATAATTCACAAGAATGCATACCGAAAGTGAACCAATAAGAGAGCAGACACCAATATATGCCATGACATGTGTCTGTCCATACTGAGGGATAAAATGGACTACAATTACAAAGACTGTCACCATAACTGCAGCTGAATAGAAAAGAAATGCTGCAAAATACAGATACAAGGTTTGACATTTTATTGAGAGAATTGGATAGAAATGCAGATTTAAGAGAGATAGATATTTGTTAGTTGACAAAAGCTAAACAAAGCTAATTGTAGCCCATACTGCAGCTAAAAGAAATAACCAGACCTGGTTCTGTAGCAAGATCCCACACTTCCTTAACCGAATCAATTTCACGCTCTTGAGGAGCATGGAGAACAATTGTTATGGACCCCACAACACAAAGAGCACAGCCCAAGATTCCAAAAATATGCAACTTCTCTCGCAAGATTATATGAGCAAGTGCAGCACTGCAACACAATTTTTTTTAAATCAATACGTGACAGCCAAGTTAGTTGACATGGTGTGTTAGGATCGTACCTGATGATTATGCTAAGGGCACCAAGAGGAGTCACCAGTATTGCAGGAGCAAAGGCATAAGCTGCAAAATTAGCCACTTCCCCCACAACCACTGGATTGTAGGCATAAATTAGCCAAAACATTCGATCCAAAATAAGATAAGAGAGCCAAAAAATGTACGAGTATATTTAACTATATTCATAACACTCAACACAAAAATAACACCAAGGAGGGAAGCATCCTCCACCAATAGCCAACCAACCTAGCAGCAGCCAGTTCTTTTAACTGTAGCACAGTAAGTATAAAGAACTAAACTTCAGGCTCTTTCATTAATTTTGTCCCTAATAACCAGCATATTTTCCATTGCAGTATGTGAACATAATAAGATTAATAAAGTTGGCGGATTTGCCTCGTTTACATAATTTTTTACCCAAGTGAACGCAAAATGTGGCCCTTTAATCCAAATCATTTGATATAAAAAAATGATTCCATCAGGCCATAGGTAAGTCAACTGAACCATAAGATAGGGTTAACAATAAACAATCTAAAAGTAGAGAATGAGATTATAGAAACCGTTAGGTTCCCCTATTGTGAGTTAGAAGTTCAGAGTTCAACACAAATAGCAGACTCTCCGTGATGTGGAATTGAGCTGCCTGCATTAACACAGCCACAGCCCAGTTTGAGTAAGGGCCCTATAAACCAAGTATTTGACAAGCATTTCTATCTTGCTTGAAACTTTACGGTCAGTTTATGTTCATAACTCAAGCATATTGCAAGGAAAAAAATTATTGTTGTCATCAAAAGCACAAATTCTTTTTTGACAACAAAATAACTAATTATTTCTCAGAACTTGAAAACATTAAGCAGAAAAGAAGGGGACAAAACCATAAATTTTTGTTTTATTTGCAAGCCCTATTGCTTCTAATATGCAAAGTATACTCAGAATTAGCACAAAACAAATAACAGAGAAATTCAAGGTATGAATTTAATTAGACCAAGCAAGGCATTCATTACAAAAGAACCCATCAACTAAACAGCACCGATCAATCACAAAGTATTACCCATGCATGAGTTTGTAAATTGCTACACTAAGCTCACTAATAATGTACAGATGTATAAGAAGTCTCACTTGCTATCATGCCTGCCCACCATAGCGGCTCATACAAGTAAGAATAGCCACCAGCTCCTGCATCAAATTTGCAAATACTTGATCTTTCAGTAACAAGAAAAAATGAAGGAGACTTGGCAAATAGATATGATGCAGAATGTGGGGTAAAGTAACGAACACTACTAAGCAAGTTACAAAAGATTTATTTGGAGAATATAAAAAAAAAAGTTTTTATAAATAAAAAAAATAGCTGGAACCGAAAATAATAATGTACAAAAAAAAGATAAAATATAAGAAGTTATGCAATAAAAATTGTTTTAAAAGTAAAATTTTAGAAAATCGGGGAACATATAAGGTGGCTCGTAGGGAGTTTAAGAGAACAACTTGTGATGCTAAGAATTTTGTTTTTAATGATTTTCATAATTTATTAGATATTAAAGAGAATATATATATATATATATATAAACTAGTCAAACAAAGAGATAAGAAAAAAAAAAATTTAGAGTACGGTGTATTAAGGATGAAAATCAAAAAATACCTTTTTAGATAAAGATATTCAACATGGGTGGGTGAGATATTTTGATAAGTTTTTTAATGAATATTTTGAAATATGAAGCGATCTTAATATAGTTAATAATAATAATTTTTTTTTATTTTTACTGTTGCATTAGTAAAACGGAAGTTGAGGAGGCTTTAAAGAAAATGAATACGGGAAAATTAATAAAATATGATGGTATCCCAATAGAATTGTTGAAATGTTTAGGGGATTTATGAATTTTTTGGCTTATTAAATTTTATAATATTATTTTAAAAATTAAAAAGATGCCTGATAAGAGGAGAGAGAATATTTTGGTCCCTATTTTTAAGAAATTAAGTTAATGTGACATACATTAAAATTAAAATTATGGGAGAGAAAAATTAAGTTAATGTGACATACATTAAAATTATGGGAGAGAGAAATTGAACATAGGTTAAGACGTGATACTGAGATTTTTCAAAATAAGTTTCGATTTTTGTCGCGCAAGTTTACTATGGAAGTCTATATATTTATTGAGAGGATTGATGGAGAAGTACAAAGATAATAAAAATGATCTACACATTATTTTTGTTGGTTTAAAAAAAACTAATGATAAATCCTAGAAAAAGAAAGGCGTTGATATGACTTATATTCGAGTCATTAAAGGTATGCATACTAGAGTTGTTACTTGTGTTTGAACACCATGAAGATTGACCAAATATTTTCCTAACTCATGTCGTTTTGCCTTAGTTATGAATGTTCTTACTAGACATTTATAGGATGATGTACCATGATGTATATTTTCTACTAACAATATCCTTTTTATGGATAAAACTTAAAAAAGAGTTCGGAAAAAACTTGACTTATACATTAGATTCTTAAGGTTTTTGTTTGAGTAGATCTAAAACTAAATATGTTAAATGTAATTTTAGTAGTAGTAAACCTAGTGGTGGGGTATTAATAATGGGTAACGAAGTCATTAAAAAGAGTGAACATTGAGATATCTAGCGTCTATTATTTAGAGTGATGGTGATATAGATAGGGATGTTATTAATAAAATTCAAGTTGGATGACTGAAGTGGAGGAATGCATCAGACCTATTGCGTGATAGAAAAGTACCATTTAGACTTAAAAGAAAATTTTATAAAATGGTGATGAGACCTACAATGTTGTATGGTGCAAAATGTTGGCCTATAAGAGTGAAGCATAAAACTAAGTTCAGTGTTGCTGAGATGAGAACGCTAAGGTGGATGAGTGGTTTTACACTTAGAGACAAAATGCGAAACGAATATGTCCATGAAAGAGTTGGTGTAGCTCTAATGGTAGACAATATTAGAGAGTCGTCTTCGATGATTTGTTCACATTAAACGTCGACCATCCGATAATCTTATTAGGACCGTAAATGTTTTAGATTTGATTTATAGTAAGAAAGTTAAAGCTTGACCTTGTATAAAAAATAATTTTAATCTATTAGTATTAAATGAAATATGACACTCAATAGGACTTAATGGAGAAAAAAGATTCATGTAGCAGACCACACTTAGTGGGATAAAGGCTTGTTTTTTTTTTTTTTTGTTGTGTATAAGATGCAGAATGTCAAGGTGCAAATAGAAGTCCAACTCAAGAATAATCTTTTGCATAAAACAAAGAATTTTTCAATTCATTTAAATTCATTTGTAATTTTATTACTGAATAAATAAAAATATAATGTGAAACAAAAGAAAAATCAAATCTGTGCGTGCACAAAAAGATAAATAATACAAATTTAAGCAAGCAAACAAAAAGATAATTAATACAAATTTAAACAAGCAAATGTTAAGAGCCCTATATATGTACCCCCAAAATTTTAATCTGATAGAAGAATGAAAACTGTTATGAAAAAGTACATGAAAACCAATAAGTAATCAGTTAGTCAAATTAGTCTTCTGTTAAAGTTACTAGATTAGGACAAACAAATATCAAAGAATAAAATGATTATACGAAGAAAATTTTATTGATCCAACAAATTTTCAATCTCTTTCACTTTTCTCCCTTATTTTGCAGATTTACACGCATTTAAATGTCAGAAAATCTATTAGTAACATGACCAACAGGAAAATATGATAAGGGATCTCAAACTACATATCAAGCAGATCCAGTATATAATGTATTTCATGAAAAAAGAGCATATTCAAGAACCAACCTTATCAAACCAGATTTCATACATGCTTTGATAAAGCTTTTGTTATTTAAAGTTAGTATTCCCGTACTGATTCCTACGCTTCATCCTTTCTCTATACTGAAACTAGTGACACTAACTCCAAAAAATATAAAGTAGTGCAAAATGAAATCAAAAGATGCAAGAAACGTCAAATACAAATCACAGCAGTAATTTGACAGTACCATGTAAGAACAATTTGTTCATGTAGTGATAAACAGGTCCAAGCCATTAATATAAAGTTTGTTCCTGGAATATACTGGAATATAAGAATGCAGATAGATTTTTTTTTTTTTTTTGGCATCATCTAGTGCAGAATCATTGGTCGAATACATTATGCCTTCAATGCATGCAGAATATTTAAGCTTGAATTATAATCTTCTATGCGAAATTCAACTACCACCGCTCAAAAACACCATCCCAATTTAGTTCTCGGCATAATCCCATACAAACGATTTTAGAAATAATTCCCAGCAGTAAATTTGCTGTCATCAAATGAGACTTGCTTTAAATAGGATTTATCACTGGATTTACTAAATCCAGTCAAATGGCAAAATGCAGGAGTTTCGTAGATTTGCGAAATTTAAGATTTAGAAAATCCAATCTCGCCTTTGATTCCGCCTAAATCGGGATTTATTAAAAGGTGAAGATTTATCGATTTACTAAATTCTACTCGCATCCAACATGTAATGCCTACCATCAAAAGTAATATAAATAGATTCGCCATTTTCCCATGCTGCAGCACGTGTCTAATAAATTCATGGCCAACAAAACCACTTCAACACAAAGCTCCGACCAGCCCAGGAGTTGAATTTACTGGAAAAATTCCTAAACCAAAAGAACCTAAAGTGTATTCGTACCTGCTCTAACACCAGAAGCACTGGCCTTCTTCAATCCCTTCTTCTTAACGATGAAGCTGGCCCCAATGAAAAAGCTGGAAGACAGCGCAAGCACCAAACCCTTTATGTTGTCAGAGGACATGCCCCTATAAGAATCCCGCCAACTACCACCCGACGCCATTGCCGGCATAGAGCGAAAACCCTAGCGATAATTCGGAAACCGCTACCGCGCGATCCCCGCAGTACACTCCAAAGCATCAGCCATGGAAGTGGTTAAAATCAAGAAGAAGCTTAGCCGCTAGATGAAAAGGGCTGGCGGTCGTTGGGGGGGAGCCCGGCGGCCGCCACTTACCCTTGTCCGTAATCCCCCTTCTCTCAAATGATCTCAACAGATCTGAGAGTTCTGGGAAAAATATTGGTGGTCTAATGCTCTGGAAACGAAGAAGCGGATGGATGTCAAGATCGTTCCTTTTAACTGGATCAAAGGGAAATTGTACGACATTCACAAAAGACAATTGTTGTCCACGATTTTCCTTCGCATGGCGACAAATTTTATGAGCAATTCCATTTAATTGTTTCGATAAAATTTTGAGCCCAAAAGTAATTTTTGCAGCGAGGTGGGATTTGAATTTAAGGTAGGATTTTCAGGCATGACACCCAAAATGTTATGACGGGGGATTTACAAACATGTCACTTGATTTTCAAGTATTTATATATTTAATATGTAATATTTTTTATTTATATTTATAATATTTTGATGACATAACTTTATGCATAAAAAGATAAAAAGATTCATGTCATCTTAAAAAAAAATTAATAATAATGTTATTTATAATGTAGCATTAAACATTTAAATGTTATCCATATAAATATGAATATATTTATGGGTCTCTTTGGGACAACTATTGATTATTTATAATTTGCTGATAAGCAAATTATTCTAATAATCTGATAATAATCTGACTTGCTGTTTGGGACAGTTTATTCAGAACATCTTACTGACAGCTGTTGCTGGATAAATGATCATTTTGCCCATGTTTGATTAAGCTGATGGCAACAGAACTGTTTGAGCACATAAATAAATAAAACAGAACTCCAAAAACATTGCAGATCAGTTCAATAAAGAAACATAGAGTCCTCACATTCTTGTGAGTATCAGAACAAATAAAATAAAGATAAATACATTACAACAACAACAAGAAATATTAAAATAATTACAGCTAGAATATGCCCAAAAATCGTTCATTCATTTCATATATCACATCAAAAATTAAAAAATATATATATTCCTTGCATCTCCCAAAAAAACCAACAGAAAAGAATAACTTTCCAAGGATGGCAGGGGACAGCATACTTGATGAATCAGAAGTAAAATCGAAATGACAGAAAAGAATAACTTTCCAAGGATGGCAGGGGACAACATACTTGATGAATCGGAAGTAAAATCGAAATGGTAGGGCTCGCGAGAAGGAAGGAGAGGGTATACCTTACGTCGATCTCAGTCCAAGCGAAGGAGAGGAGGATCGGCGAGCCGAGGGGGATCTGCCAGGCGAGACGAGTAATGTGTGATTCTCCTTGGAAGGGTCTGATCTCCTGTGTATGGGCGAGCAGATGGGTGTGATTCTCTGGAAATGCGAGGGCAGAGGGAGCAAGGTGAAGGGTGCGATTCTCGGAAGTGCGAGGGCAGAGGGAGCGAGGCGAAGCAGAGGTGAAGGAGCACAGGAGATCTGTGAAGCAGAGGAAGCAAACTAGAGGAGATCTGCGATTCTCTTAGGGTGAGGGCGAGCGGGATATGCGAAGGGGCAGCATAGGAACTTTTCCCTAATCGCAGAATTCATACGCGGGACGCGGGGGAAGTCCGACTTGCGAAAAGATGAAGAAAATGGCGATAATAAAACGTCGCGGCGGAAATAATTTAGAGCGAATAAGAAAATGGCGATAATAAAACGTCGCGGCGGGAATAATTTAGACCGAATGCGATATATAAACGGGAAGGCGGCGTTTTCAAAACGCCGCCGCTCCCTATAAGATGCCTCAAACGGGCCCTAAATGTTAGATATATAGTAACATAAAAATTATGTGATATGTTATGCCTATTTATATTACATGTTTAACATTTAATAGCATCCAAAACATTAAAATAAACTAAAAATATAACATATCATTGTTAGAAGCAATAACACGATCTCATGTTGTCGCTAGCTCACCATCACCATCATTGTTTCGTTGCATGCACCATCATTAGCTTGTCGTCACCTATCTGTGAGCTCGCCTCCCCGCCTTCTGCAAATGTACCATCACCTGCTCCTCGTCGCCTGGCCTGCAACAACCAAGGGTAGAGCTAGGGGTTGTCAAGGAAGGAGGAGAGAATGCGGGTGTGGGGAGCCTCAATGAAGTAGAAGAGGATTCAAATGAAAAGTAAAGAGGGGATATTTCAGGAAGGAGGATTAGGGTGCAAGAGAAGTTGTTGAGAGCGATGCATTCAGCACAATGAAGAAGGATGAAGAGGTAAATATTGTTCAAGGCTTTCATGATGGTCACCTAAGCGTGTAAGCAAGTCGAGTCGAGCTCGTCATGCCAAAATGCTAGCTCCACTCAAATGAAATGTTGTGACAACTCAGATGGTTGTGAAGAAGGAGAAGTCATGGTAGCTTGCTAGAAAAGACATCAAAGTGACTGGTTTTCAGCTAGTCGAGTCGACTCACGAGCAAACAAGTCAAGTCTTGACAAGCGCAAGCTCAAGCTCGTTTAATATACAAGCTTGAGTTTAACCTTGAGCTTTATGGGTTTAGAAAATATATCATCATTCAAATTATAATAATTAATATATAGTTAATCAAATATAAATTTCAAAATGATATATTATTTCAAAAGATAAAAATATTATTCTATAATGGATTCAATCACTGAACAAAAATTTTGAAAACTATGGGCTTGCATGAATTAAAGATTTTTTATGTAGCTAATATGGGTAAGATATTGTTCATTTTAATCTTGTGTACAAGTTTCATGGAGGGGCAATCACCTATAATTAAATTTATCATATGAGTAATAATCCTGTAGGAACACTCTCGATTAAAGTAGTAGCTTCTCTCTTAATAAATTTTAAAGTTTAACTTTTAATATTGTTATTTTAGAATATCAATCAAAATATAATAAATTGAAACTTTTTTTTTCGGTTGAAGAAAGAATGGCAGAAAGTTTTTGGAAACTTAGAAGCTTAGTATCACTCTAATAATCTATTTTAAGCTTTTTTGTTGAATTTAAATTTGTCCTTCGAGACATGCTCAGGTCCTTGAGGCAGAAAAAAAAAAGAGAAAAATAAGGAAAAAAAAAATAACACATATAGGCTTGCCCCGTAAGGGCGAACTAGGGTATCCCCTTTTATCTATTAAAAATAACAATTACATTGAGAATATGAAAGTTCTCTCTATATGAGAAGTCAAGAGAGAAGAGCCCCATTTTATATGCTATGAACTCTCTATTTATAGAAAAAAGTGATGAAGAAGCTCTCCTCATCGGAGAGAATGAAGGAGTTGTTGAATTTGACCTTCTCCCAGACAGAGAGTAAGCTTTCCTCGTCGTCTCATCGGAGTGTCACCAGAGAAGAGGAAAATGACCAACAAAATGAAAGAAGAGATCAGAAAATGAAGGAAAAGAGCTTATCTTAACTTCTCTTTAAAGAAGAAGATGGAATCACTCAAGAAATCTCCTTGGAAGCTCTTGAATCCCCCTTGCTCCAACACTCCTCTGTAACAGCATGGTGGCTGATTGATCGAATGAACACTTCCTTAGGGGTTCGTCAGCCATAGGGGGGTTATCCAAGGGTCAAAGACCACATTCCAATTCAGTATGGACGAAAAACATCTCCCATGCAATTTTTAGGTGAAAAGTCAGGCCGTAGGGGAAACACCAGCGATCCCGACAGCCTTTCAATGTGTCACAGATGGAGGTAATTACTCTTGGCGCTCTGTCTGGGCAGTGAGGCTACGCCACTTACGGGTGTGGTCACGACGGTCGAAGAACTTGGGCACCTACTTAAATCTGAACATGGTCACGCCAAGATTGCAATGTAATTATGTCATCACATATGTTTGGTCTGTGTGGCCATGCCACCTTCAAGCGTGGCCACGCCGACCATAGCCCTTTTGGCTTGTGTAGGGTGATCTCGACATGACCACACCTGGTTTAGGAGTGGTCATGCCACTAACTAGACGTGGTTACTTCTGAATTAGACGTGGTCATGCCTGAATTAGGCGTAGTCATGCCTGAATTTAGGGTAGTCACGCCTAACCCCAAAAAGATTGCGCTTATGGAGAAGCTCGCCAAGGGGTTTTTGGGCCTTGTGGGACCTCCGGAGAATCGAATGTGAGTAGCTAATGACACTTGGACCTATGTAGGGACAATAAATGTGTATCAAAAGAGTTCGAGAGGTCGTACATATCGTCGAGCAAAGCGGTTCTAACATGAAATCCGTATGTTCGGGCCTTGGACTTAATGTCCGAACATGGTGCAGGGTTCTCTAGTTGATAGCCTGTGCCAAGAAATATCTATATCAACAGGATACAATCCTGTGTCACGAGAACGAATGTCAACCTAGAGGATACCAAAAGCAATGTCGGCTTGGCAACACTCAACTTGAAGCCCGACTATGATGGTGTAGAACCCAATTAATGTCGAGTCACTCGACAAGGATGTCACATCAAAAATGGATGCCACCAATAATATATCTATGTAATGATATGCCAAGTCAAAAGAAAAAAAATGTCTAGCATAATTACTCTAAAATATCAAGCTAAGAGAAGTTAAGATGAAAGAAAATTATACTATTGAATCAAACAAAAGATACATGTTTTGATGGTCATAATAAGTCTTACATAATCATTAGAGAAAAGTATTGATATTAATAAGTGACCTACTTTAAAGCTCTAGAAACTCAGCCATTAAAAGAGAGACTTAGAATCCTCAACATGTTGGGTATATTTGTGGGGAACATCACATATGCTAGAATCCCCAACTTGTGCGGTATGTTTAGGAGAACACCATATATGCTGAGGATGATCATTTAGAAAGGACTAATTTACAATAATACTTTAAACATTTAATAAGTGTGGATTGTTTGAGGGAAACACCACACAATGGAGTTAACAAAGATGTTCCAATGCTAATGGTACAAAATCAATCTACCCATATATGAGGAACATTTAGAAAGGCTAAATATGACTCAACATATGGTTCCAACCCAATGATAAGTGGCCAAGTTAATGACTTTAAGAACTTATTCGATGAGATCCTCAACTCATGGTATTTTCAAGGGGAACATTACATGTTAGCAATCACAATAAGTGTGGCATATTTAGAGGAATTTGGCAAATGTCAGAGTTGTAGTATGATGTAGTAAAATGATCATGCTAGGAAGGGAGGACTCTTCTATGTTTGATTTCACCATCTCTAGTATTTAATCTTTATTCTTTTACATTCTTAAAAAAATAACCCATTTTAGCTGCCTAAAATATATTATTGCGTTGGGTGAATTTGATAATTATAAGGGATGAACTTTATCTTTGTGATGAAGATATTTTTGGGCTTACTTTCTCATTTGGCCAAACATTTGATGCCATAGATTTGAATTTACCCTACAACCATGGAAAATCATACTTTTTATGAGTTGGTGTTTATGTAAGAATTGAATATTACATTATCCCAATCAATTACTAAAGTACATTTTATTATTTTTCAAGCATCTATACTAAAAGTGGCATGTCATCCTTTTATAACTAGTTTAGTAATAAAAATAATTTCTCCTCAAACCAAGAATATGCCTAAATTTATATAATTTTCAAGTATTTCCATTTATTATCTTAATTATCATCTCTAATGTGTAGAATACTCAAGAATTGAAGATCAATTAAGAGCGCTTTGTTATAAAATTGTATGCAACATTCTATCATTATATCTTTATTGAAGAATATTTGAAAGAAACAAATGAATCTAATATCCAACTTTTCACTAAATTACACTCAGTATTACTCTATCTCATATGTCTTCCACAAATGCATTCATCAATATCTTTTAAACTTTTAGCCTCCATCTTATTTCTTAACCATGTATTATATCATTAACTCAAAAATTCCTAAAGTAAAATCACCCACTTAGTCAATGTCATGGATTACTTTTGTTTTGATTTAATTATTAATTCTTTACACAAGATTTTATTCTGCCTTTTCCATTATTTTGTTCTTATTTGGAGACATGCTCTTATAATTAACATTTAAAATAAAAGATAATATTTATTTACCTTTCTTGTGATTTTTAATATTCAAAACAAGTATAAGATCTCTACCATCAATGACCTTTATGATGGAACATCCATAAGAAATGCTAAAAGTTGTTATAACACCATCCAAACTCACGGGGAATGATGAAAGTAAGCTTAATGCAATGATCTCATTATTGAGCATATTGATCACATGGTTCGTCTATCATTCAATTAAATCAAATTCATTGATTTAATAAGTGGCTAAAGCTCATTATGACATATAAGCTTAAAGAATACATGCATTATATACACCTTGTTGCTTGTGGAGGTCTTTTCATACATATTGAATAGTGTCTTGATGATGCTTGATATAGTGGTCCCACTAAGAATATTAAAAGTGATTTTTGTGTTGAGAGATGTATGAATGACCACCATATCTCATTTGTTAATTAGCTCGCACTTTTCTCATTAAATGATTGTGACCTTTCTCCCTTGAGAAGTTGATGGAGCATTCTCTAGTAAAGATAGTCCTCTTTTTTCCATATTCTTAAATATAAAATATCAGCCATCTAACTCGTTAATTTTGACCTTAGCACCATCATGATTTGATCTAAAATCTTTATAAAATCAAGCTCTGATACTAATCCTTAAGATAATAATAAAACTTCAAACAAAAATAAAACAAGAAAGAATAGTGTGCATAATATAATAGGACTCACCTTTATACATGACCACATATAGATCAAATAATCAATAAAACTTTAAAAGGGAGATAAGAGTAAGTCATACTTCATATAAAGTTAGAGATGTGAATAGCATCATCACTTTTTCTAAGCTAACATTTGAGAGTTAGCACAATCATTATGTTAGTTGGATGTAAAGGATATGACTATTATTGTGATGTCTCTTTTTATTAGTGTTATGGAATGTCAAATCAAAGCTTTTCATTACCATGGCCGATAACTTATCCTTTACTAAAATCTAAAATAACTACACTTTTTATACCTTATAGAGTAAAAAACTTTAATTACATGCACTTAAAAATCTCTGAAAATAAAAGATATCATAACTCGAAAAAAAAAAAAAAGATTTAGTCATATCTTCAAAAATATTCTCTAGGATTTATAATAATGAGTTTTAATTCATATGTAATGAGAAAAAATCCTAAGCACCATAATTCAAACATAGCCATATCATATAACATCCACATTCCCTTCAAAATATCCCTCACCTTCATTGTTGCTAACACCAAGTCCCATATGGACCAGATCCATTCCAGTTTCCATTTCTAAGCTCTTGTCATCTAGAAACCATTTTGACGTCGTTAAAAACTGATCACAAGAAAATTTCAACAATTCCTTTATGAAGCAAAGTCTATCCTTGTTCCCCCTATAATATGCTCCTCTGTCAAAAATTATGAGGCCATCGAATATAGTTGCAAGTACAAGAGAATTAAAAGAATTTATAAGATAATATCTATGGGAAACTCTCTCTTCCAAATATCCCTGCACTTCTTAATCCCCATTACTTTAATTACATTGGATCTATCCCTATAAAGAGATGCTGCCATTGAATATGAAAAATGGCTTCTCTCAAATAGAAGCTAAAATAGTCATTCACAGGGGAAAAACTTGACCAATCTAAATGTCTCATGAAGAATTGTTGCTTAGATGCTCCATTTACCTGAATGGCTTGTCTGAGTGGGCTCAAAACAACTGATAATCTTGTGGCTAGAAAGACAAATATTTTTAAACTAATTTTCTATGCTATGTAGAGAGAGAATCGCAATCTCACTTGCATTCTGGTTATTCCTATTCTAAGTGGTTCCTTAGGAAAACTGTTCTTGGAAGTCATCTCTCTCTTCATTACTTCAATACTTAACACAAAGTTAATTTAATGGACACTATCTAGCTAAAAAGCTCCATATCTTAATCGTGTGTGCAGCGCTTTACAATAATTAGTAGGAGAGGAATAACAGATACACATAAATCTATTAACACTGCCAAACTATAAATAGAATCATTTTTCATATAAAAAAATATGAAATTAGGTGGTGGAAATGGAATCAGAATTGGCAAAATGTTAAAAATTTGTTTCATTCCTGGCTGGTAGGCTAATTATGCTGATTTTATGTTGCTTGGCCAGAGTTTCTTCTTTCTGTTTCTCTATCAAAATTATGAATACCAACTTATTGATTTACACACATACATCTAAAATTTGAAATTTACTAATAACACCAAAATCTTTAACATCATATAAAAAATAATATCATATCAAATTTCATATAATTAAATGCATCTTTTCATACACATATTTTGATGTAATTATGATAATAATATACTAGATAAATAAATATTAAAGACTAGGTATTAGATATGTAAATGCACAAGAATTGTGTTGCATTTCTTTTATTTAAAAATGCTATAAACAGTGCAACGACCTCTTTTAATATCTAGCAAGAGCAGATCCAGAATAATTTGTCATTCAAATACAATGAGGCATAACTGATTTCCAAAACAAGTTTGCACAGCTCTGTAAAAGCAAATTAACATCTGCAGCGGGGAGAGGATGCTTTGATACTGACCAATCTCATCATATTTTGCTATCTGGAGCAAGGTACTTGGTATATCGCGCCTGTACCAGTAGCTTCCCATTCTTCTTTTTCCGAAGGTCTATGTTAGCTACCCCAATGGCTTTTCCGGTTCTTAGAACCTTAGCTTCTATCTCAATTTCTTCCTGAAGAACCATTAATGGATGTAATGAAAAATCTACAGGACAGACTGTAATTGGTGCAGAATAAAATGAGCAGAAGAAAAGATTGAACAAAAGTTATGGCAGAGTTGGGTCTATATATTCTAGATATCAGTTTTAGAAAGGTCATATGTGAAGTTTCCCTTGCAGTTTATTAACTATCATAGTTCAAAAATAGATTATATTTTAACTTGAATTGGAATATATGTTTAATATTGTCAGGGGACCCCCTCAGACAGGAACACACATATTTTACAGAATATATCATGTGGTAAAAACATTGCAATAAACTATAAGCAATTACGCCACTTATTACAACATATTACGTTATTATTATTTTTCACTAAACTTCTCATTAGCATAAGTATTAATGGCAATTGGAAGAAGACATTTGCATGTTACAACAAATCAAATCTAGCGTTGTCAAAAGCACCAAACATCCACAAGGTCATAAGTTTACCCAGAGCCTAAGGTGCCAGGCATAACGCTTCGTGTTCACCTTAGCGAACGGGGACACTAAGGAAAATATATATTTTACTTAATAAATTTGTTCTCATTAAGATGGTTTAAAATGGTAATTATTAGATAAACTATGTTTGATAAAATAATAAAATTTCTAGTTTAGACGCATTTCAAGTTTCACAACCTTGTTATTCTGTATTTTTTAAGCAAATAACCTAAAAAATATGCATAAATAACTCAAACATCAAAGGAGACGGATGGGATAACTTTATGTTTTTATTTTTAGTTGATTTGCTAATGTTTTGATATAGAATAAAATATGTTTAATATCTTAAATATAAATATAGTTATTAGAAAGGATATATGTGAACATTATCACATAGACATGATGATAAAATATAATTGTTAAAAATAGGACATAACATAACATGAATGCATCATGTGTTATAAATTATTAATATAAATATATAATTTCTACTATTCTCAATTAAACTAATGATTCAAATTTTAAAATAAAAATTACTAACCATTTGATAACTAAATATATAAATGATTACATGAATATATAAAGTTTACACCTTCATATAGTTATTAATAATAGGCATGTATAAAATAATATTTTTTAATAATTTTTTTTAAACTAAATTGCATATTAGATAATTACATAATTTTTTGTAGAAAACTCCAAAATATAAACCAAAGGATACTATGAACTCAGAAAAATGAGGAGAATTTTTCAAAACTAAAATGATAATTTTCCATCAACCAAATATTTTTAAATTAATTTTTGAAGTTCGGGAGTATTTAAATTATAAAAATTAAAATATAAATAAGAAAAATATGAAATTTGGCAGATATATTAAATGGCTTTGGGGAGAGCTTCTCAAATTTTTCCAAAACATTTTAATGTCTCTATATTTGTATTTTGATTTTTGAACAAAATGACATATTTATGTAAACTAAAAATTATAAAAATTATAAAAATTGTATAACTCTCTCTGATTGAACGTTTGACCATAAAAAGTGATTTAAAAATTTTAAAATCATATTTAAAATAATTTTTATAATTAAAACACGTTAATTAGGGTTCAGGTTTAATTTAGGCTAAATTTACCTAACTCAAGCTCAATCTAAGTCCAACCTAGCCAACTCTCTTTAGATCGTGTTCAACCTGATTACAGACCTGGTTCCAACACAAGGATTGAGTCAATCACCCATTAAATCCAATTTTAGTCATTTAGGGCTTTAGGCCAGCCAGTCTTTAGACCGAGTCTCGTCTGAGTAAACTTAAAATTTAGTGGATTCCAATTTGAATTGTTGGAGCATTTTAAACTTGAGCAGTTTGACTATTTTAAACTTGAGATTTAAGTCATTCTATCAATTAATTCAGACTGAACTTCTTGAAGATTAGGGTTAGTCAACATGAACTATAACTTAGTTTAACATCCATATTAGGTTCATCCTAAACTAAACCTTAATCTTAGGTCAGCCTTAACCTAAACCATTAGGATTAGTGATCCTAACCACTAAGATTAATTAACATAAAACTTAGGTTAGTTAACCCTAAACCAATAGAATTAGTTAGCCTAAACCCTAGGTTAGTTAGCCCTAAAACCAATAGAATTAGCTAACCTAAACCACTAGGATTAGTTAACCTAAACCCTAGGTTAATTAACCCTAAATCGATAGGATTAGTTAACCCAAACCTTAGGTTAATTAACCCTAAACTAATAGGATTAGTTAGCCTAAACATTATGTTAGTTAACTCTAAACTAATATGATTAGTTAACCTAAACCCTAAGTTAGTTAACCATAAACCAATAGGATTAGTTAGCCTAAAACTTAGGTTAGTTAACCCTAAACCAATAGGATTAGCTAAACCTTAAACCTTAGGTTAGTTAACCCTAAACTAATAGGATTAGTTAACCATAATTCATAAGATTAGCTAAGTCTAAACCTAGGTTAGTTAACCTTAAACCAATAGATTAATTAACCTAAACCTTAGGTTAGTTAACCCTGAACCAATAGGATTAGTTAACCCAAACCTTAAGTTAGTTAACCATAATTCATAGGATTAGCTAAGCCTAAACCTTAGGTTAGTTAACCTTAAACCAATAGGATTAATTAACCTAAACCTAAGGTTAGTTAACCTTAAATAATTAGGATTAGTTAACCCAAACTTTAAGGTAGTTAACCCTAATTCAATAGGATCAGTTAACATAAACCTTAGGTTAGCTAACCCTAAACTAATAGAATCAGTTAACCGAAACCTTATGTTAGTTAACCCTAAACCAATAGGATTAGCTAAGCCTAAACCTTAGGTTAGTTAACCCTAAACCAATAGAATTAGCTAACCTAAACCTAGGTTAGTTAGTCCTAAAGCAATAGGATTAGTTAACCTAAACCCTAATTTAGTTAACCCTAAACCAATAGAATTAGTGAACCTTTATCCAAAATTGAGGTCAATAGTTAGTTAACCCTAATCCAACCCTGATCTTTAGGCTAAATAAACTTAAATCATAGCTTAGCCTTAAGCTAATCCTACCCTAAACCTTAGGTTAAGAACCTAACCCATAGGTTGAACACAGGAGAACATTTTAGGTATAACCTTAAACCTAAGTTAAACCTAAACCCCTCAACTTGAACATCAATTAAGAAATAAAATAAAACACATTGGGAGGGGTAAAATTTACATAACATATATTAAAATACTTAAACTTAAACCAAAACAAATGCAACAAAACTTTAAAGCATGGCTTTGAGGTTAAGTCAGTTTCGAAGTCGTCAACTTCACATAAGTAATAACAAGTGAACAAAAATAACTAAAATAAAACACTTAAAATCCGACAACAAGATGTAAACAACAAAATAACCTTAAATCAATAGGATTAGTTAACCTAAGCCTTTGGTTAGTTAACCCTAATCCAACCCTAATCTTTAGGTAAAACAATTTTTTTCTAGTTTACGAAGATTCCTTGGACGATGCATTTTGTGGATGTTGACAAGAATCTTCCGGTCCTAGTGGGAAACCACCTTTCGGACTAAGTAAACTAGGGCATCCGGCAACCCAGGACGACGGAGCCATAGACATCTTGATTGAGTTACTACTAATTAAATAATTAAAATTTAATAAAAATTTGACAAAACTTTATTTCTTTATTAGCTCTATTTATTGTTTTGTGTAAGCTTTATTTATTGTTTTGTGTATCTCAATGCATGTATTTTTTACTGTTTTTATCAAATATAGAATACATGTGTTAAGGACATAACGAAGGAATAAAAGTTGCTTAGATTAGGAAGAACCTAGAAATCATAACACTAGGGAACTACTTAGCTTAAGTGAACTTAGCCTTGGCCTAGGTTTGAACTATACCTCCACCACCCTTCAATTAATTCACTGTAAAATTATCGAAACAAATAAAATTTTTAATAATAAGATCAGAAGACCCGAAGACTCGAAGACACTTCAGTATGGAACTTGGAGCAGACTCGTGGGCAGTTTCTTTAGTTTAAATAACAATCCTTAGAATTCTGATGTTGTCTTTTATGACATAAAACCTCTCTTTTTTTAGGCTCCTGCATAGTCCCGATATGCAGCATGTCCTAACTTGTTTTAGGATTCTGAAGTAGTTATTCGACGTAAAACCTCATATCTTTCTAGGCTTTTTGTGTAGACCATCATTACACAAATCTAAGCCCTAATTAATAATTGACAAGAGTTAAATTAATATTATCTTAAATTGAGCCAAATATTAGGATACTTTGGGGGATTACCAAGAACCTATTATGGATCTTTAATCTCCCCTACTTTTCTTTCTTTGATTCTTAAAACAAAATCTTTCATATTTGAACCAATCCCTATTGAAAATTTCACAATCATGTTCGTTGAAAACCATTCCTTTTGAATTCGTGAAGACAAAAGATTACTAATTTTTATCGAGAGTTTTCTTAAGTGATACATTGCTTAAGATGTAATTAACTATAAGGGTTTGTCATTATAGAGAACTTAAAAGAACCCAGACTTAAAATAAACCTTATTTGACTCCCATATCGAATAGGAGAATTTGTCGGTCATCATGCAAACTTGTAGATTAAACGGAAGTTATTTATTTCTATAGTTTATTTAATTAAGCTTATTATCAAGTAGTGTATTACCTTTCGGGGTGGTATATTACTCGTGGTTAGCTCGATTATTCAAATTATAGGAATCAATGAGATCAGTTTGACCCCATTTTCTTTAAATTAAAATACATAATTTCTAAACACTATATTACGCTAAATTAAACCGCACCCAGCCGCATGATGATCGACAAGAGGCAACTAAAAAAAGGTGAGTACCATCTTCCACCGGATGAGGGCAAGAAGGTCGTCGTTCGATGAGTCCTACAGATTGAGGCTACGAGGGATCAACAGTGGCATCATCACAATAGATTCTACACTCATTGCACTGTGAAGTAAAATGTATACACTCTCAGCATTGAAGGAGAGAGCAGTAAGAATGTGGCATCCAAACGGATGACGGA